AATTTTCGCAGTGATAAACAATTAGTCACAACACTCTTTTACTGGCCGTTCTCTGATATTCTTATATGGCTTGAGGAATGCTCCTCGCAGACGTTGGCTCGGGTTTACGTCCGCCGGTGGACTAAGTGTCTAAAAGTTTCGTTGCGCGTTCATATACATAAGTACAGAACTCCCTTCCCAAAAAGCTCCCCGCTCGTTACATATACGAGCATACGCGCGCCACGGAGGACTCTTCATACGATTTCACAGCCCCTTTTCGTGGAATACAAGAGTTTGGCAGTGTCGTTGTGTTGGTCGCACTATCGCCAACTCATGGGCTGAAATATTTAGCCAAATTTCCCGAGATTATGCAGAAAATTGAGTAAACTATTCACAGATGGACAGCATATTTTCTCTCCCCCCCCCTCACTATATTGGAATGATTTGTGAATTTCCCACTCGCTGCTAAGCCACCAGGAAAATCACTCATAGGAGTGACAGAGCACTTTTCAGGGGAGTTCAGCAAACTATTAAAATAACCATCAGAATATATACAATTGAGTGAAATAGTTTGTATTTGTCCAATGAGTTGCTTCCCTCGTGTTTACTCAGAAAGCTCATCGGAAAGCCAACAAAACAAGTGTGAATATCTGAATTAGTAATAGATATGATTGGGTTTTGAGGCGAGTATTGAATTTGTGACGAATGCTGCTTCTATTTGTCTTGCGGAGTCGACTAGAAGTTGGCCAGCTTGTCTTCCTCCTCGAGAGAGCTGTGTACCTTCGACTGCACGCTTTTACATGTACATACGTAAGCTCTCGAGGGATTTGGGGTGCTTCTGGTGGGAAAATGGGCCATGAGGACTGTGTCTCGTGAGGGTGAGTGGCTTGGTGTGTTGCCAGCATGGAGCATTCTTGACAACGGGCCACATTATATTTTGTCTGCTCCATTGAGGCATCCGAGAATGGGTCGGAGTGCGCACGCATCATGCTGTTTCACGCGGGTAAACACTTTCCCCTCCGTGATGGCCTTATGTGTGCATTGCCCACCACTACACTGCAACTATGGAATGTGGATCAATTTTTTTTTCTGCTGCCCTCACACACCTCAAGAATTATTACATTTCAGCTGATACCATCTTATATCGTGGCTCCTCCAGTCGGACTCACACCAGCGAGCGCGGAGGGTGGATTTGGGTGAAGGCGAGCTTCCACATCAGATACTAATGCCAAGGGTAGTCCAGTGGCTCTTTTATCGGCTCATTTCTTGCGAATGGGAGAGCCGAGCTATCCCACGAAATTGGAGGCAAAAGGAAAGGCGCTCGAGAGAATTTTCCCTCCTTCCACATACTGAAAGTGTGTCCAATATTGAAAATGCTCTACCCATTCACTGGTACATAATCTAAGAATTTATTTGACTTTTTCACCAAGATGAAGCCTTCTGCCAGTTATTGTAAGAAATTCTTGGCAATGCAGTGAAGCAGGAATATTGGTGAAAATAATAAAAATCAATTGAAAAGCATCTCGTATTGGTCGTTTTGGCAAACACACCATTCTCATTGTTGAATATTATTAAGTTTGCAATGAATTTATTGCTCATGCATGACACAATATTATCTCATGCTTTCTTCTGTTTCACAAATTTTTTTTGGAAGAGGAAGTGCACAAAGTAACAATAAAATAACATTCTGAAATCATATTGTACAATCAGTATATATTGAAGATTGTGCCAAAAATAATTGAGCTTGATTGCTCAATGTCATAATCTCTTCACAAGCTCCCCATCATTGACATGGTTTCATTGCAATGGCAAAAGCTCTTGGCTGCTGAAATAGAGCCAAAGTAGTGAAAGCTCTGGCGGTAGTTCAGTGCAGATTCAAACTAACAGCATTTGACTATTAGCTGTGTGTCTCGGCTGGATACTGTGAGATTTGAAAGATGGATTTTCAGTTAATGCCACACGAGTGCCTCTCTTAGAGACATAAATAGCCCCGAGGCATTAAATAATAATAAAATAAATTTCCAGTAATAAATGCCAGACGTGATTGTTTTACAATACGAAGAGTGATTTCACTACACACAAAATGCGTGTGTGGGTTTGGGGAAACTCCTTGCGAACACATTAGGCTTAAGGGGATACTTTTCTTCTGCAAAAAAAAAGTGTTTTGATAAAAATCAATGAATTGAGGATTTGCCTTCACATCCAAATATAAATTATTCTGTCTGACGTTTAGGAGGATTCCTCGGCACAACTCTCAGAGATACAAAGAAAGAAATTTAAAACATCCCCTCAAGATTACAATGGGAATGTTTATTTAGCCGCACGTTTTTCATTTTGGGGAAGGAGATTCCGTGAATTTCACCAGCACTTCAAGTGGATCCTGGGGTGTCAGAGGACCTTTGCATTAAGCATGGAAATTTATTGCTTTGATGTTGAACCTAATTTCGCAGCAGGGGTGACATGTTACAGCATTAAAATCTCTTAATTAGAAGCCTCAAATTCCACTGTGTATTCCGTTCCCAGTGCTTTGCTACGCTACCAATTGAATTTAGTGAACTTTTAGCAATGTGGTTATAGTGCATAAATGCAAGGATGAGATAATATGCTCCAAATCTCTTCACCACTTTCAAACACTTCTGAACGCCTCAAAAGACACTTTCTGTCGCTTTTTAAACTCATTCAACTCTTTATCACCACTCAATTCTAACTTATCACAGTCTAATTCGGGTTTTTTCCGTATCAAGAAGTTTAAACTCTTCAAATTCTTAGATTTAAGATTGTATAAACTAATCTTAATGTCTCCCGATTTGCCCATGAAACCAATTTCTGTCTTGATTTTCTAGTTTTATCTTCGGAAAACGCCAAGAACAAATCTGACCAAATTGTGAGGTTATGAAAACTAGCTTTAAACCTTCTTGGGCTAATTTAATATCACAATGATTCTACTGGATATTAAAGTACAAACATCGGAAATAACTAAATAAAGAGACATTCATCTAGGCTAAAACGGCTAAAATGATATTTTTTGAGGTTATGTTGGACTGTAAAGCTGTTTTTGAGCAGAAATGCTCAACTGTGCCAAGAGGAAAGAGAAATATTTCCAGTTGAAACACAATTTTGAGGGTAATTTCAATACCAGAATCTGACTTAAACGTCTTAAATCAATCACATAACCTAGAACAGGCAATATAACTGATTAGAAAATGCCTCAATTTATTGAAACAGAAGCTTTTGCAGTGTGAATTCCAATTTCAAACACTTCCTTTAAAGCTGTACACCACTTCTGACCATAATATCCGTCCCTTGCATAAATGTATAAAATGTATTCAGCTTGAAAAGCTGTGAGGATGACTTTCTTCTGTCTCAATTTTCAATTGAGGTAAGATTCAATCACAATGAGATGCAATTAACTTGAGATACTCATTCGGAATTTCCGGTGTTCTCGCTCGAACAGGATGTGCGACTCAGTGGAAACGTTTGCCGTCCGGAAGTTGAGCCATATGCTTCTTTATGGTTGTATTGTTGAAGCGCAAACAGCCCAGGAGTTAAGTTTTATTCCGACATTTGGCTCTAATAGTTCATGAAGCAATTTAATTAATTATGAATGGACCATATCTCAAAGGACCGCATCAGTGTCTTGTGTGGTGGCTGAGGAATTGTTACGAGGCTCCATTTCGCCACAATTCGCTCACTATGACATGCCTTAGCGTCTTTCAACCCCCATAAATTGCTCCCCGGAGACAAATATTACAGCAAAGTTGCGAGTGTGAGCAAAAATTAGCAATTATTCCGTGCTGAAGAGAACTCCTTTTTGCATGGATTTCACATGGATTGGCGGCAGCATATTAGCGGCGGTGGATAAGCTTTATGTGACACCGATAAGAGAGATATCAGAAGCGCCGAGAGCGCGATAAGCGGAGATGGCGTGTGGGGAAATTTGCAAATGCCGCCACAAAACCCAAATCACATCTTTACGCATTCTTCGCCTTGTCGCAACGCCATCGTAAGTAACGAAATAATAAAAATTGATTTTTTTTCTCTTCTTCAACAATCTTACCCCAATATTTGCCAAAAGCCCACAGATAAATATATTTCTGAGATATATTGAATGCGAGAAGATTGCATTGAAATCTTGGGTGTGTATAGAAGAATGTCTTGTTTGATTTTTCGCCAAATCTGGATTTCTTCTCTCATCCAAGTGACATCGCATAATTCTCAAGAAAGTGTCTCTAAGCAATGTTGTCGAATGGGTGCAAAGACAGGAGGAAGAGTGACGCCAAAGCGTATCAATAAACTTTTTACAATGCTATTTTGCAAGCAAATTGAATTCACTGAACTGAAAGTTGAGCGAAAAAGAAAGACTTTTAAGATGCTGAGCCCCGCGCAGGATGAACAATCCAAATCGTGTTCAGCAATTTATTAGTTGTCTATTTTTATTAGCATGGGATATACAGTAGCGAAAATTATGTTAGGACACCTGTGAAATTTTGGCCATTTTTCCTTTGGTGCTAAAAATTCGATATTTCTTTCAGTTTTCGAGACAACTACCTTAAGACAAAAAACAATGAAAATTTAATGATCTTTCAAATGGCGTTGAGATCATGGCGATATTTCAATTCGGGGCTGAGATATTTCAAAATGCAGAGAGATGTGCTGCATATAATCGCGCAAAAAATCGAACCTCTCAAAATCAATTCCAAACGAAAGGTAACCTTAAAATGACGAAATATGACGAAAATGGGAGGAGACATTTTTTGATTTTCGTGTCTGTTTGTCGTTCCGTCCGTCCGTCCGTCCGTCACTTTTTGGACAATATAATATTAAGGACTTTGTGACGATCTGTGATTTTGCTCGTTTTGCTCCTCAGATAGTGACTTGCAAAGCTGAGTTATCATGAGTTTATGACATCAGACGCCAGTCACTATCACTCCATGATTTATACAGCTGTGTGGAGATACCGATCAGCTTCTCAAGAAGCTCTGAAATACTGATTAAGAGGTTGCCAAGTTTATTCAACGGAACTAAGTCTCCATTTGGACGAGAAGCCAGTTGTAATAGGTGGAAATTCTAGTAAACATATCGGGAAATGCTTGGCCGCAAGGTGCGATTATCCAGGAAGCTACCCCAATGGCAGTGTTGCCGACAAAGAGTGCTCCTCCGGAATCTCCTTGGCACACGCCCTTGCCGGGCTCCGTTAGGACGCACACCATGTTGTCCTGCAGGATGTGAGCATCGTTGGAGGGCAGTCTCTGGTAGCAGTCCTCGTTCGTGATGGTGTGCATGGTGAGCCACTGCAGCGTGTCCGGGAATGTATCAGCGCCGTGAAACGTTCTTCCCCATCCGATCGCGGTCGCCACGACGCCAGGACCGATGTGATTGGATCCCAGGAGAATTGGAGCAGCTGTTGCGGAGAAGATGATGGGATCTCGCGTCTCAAGCAGACCAATGTCTCCGGCTTCGTCCAAGGGATAGAAATCCGGATGGTTGACGATGCGATTGGTGAAGACATTCGTACCGCCGCTGCTCAGCAGCAGTGCCCCGACGATGATCCAGACGCTTTCTGGCGTGCGATTGAGCGTGCAGTGAGCTGCAGTGCCCACCCATCGATTGGTCAGGATGAATCCTCCACAGAAGTGAGAATTGGCAGTGGTTCTGATGGACACCGCGTGAGGAAATTGCCCAGAAGCTGCATCCTGACCGCCGGTAATGAAGCCTTCCCTGTCTCTCGTGAGCTCCTCGAAGTTGTCTCCGAAATATCCAGGGACACCTAAAACACACACACCACAGTGGACTCAAAGAGGATCTTTTGTGTACTGTACTTGAGAAAACTCACTCTTACTGGAAACTGCCAGCACTGAAAACGAGAACAGAATCACCTTGAGCAACATTGCTTAAATGCTGATCATGATTCAGAGGCGGGACTTTTTATAAGAAGCTCCCAGAGTTGACCATATCTTATCACAGCTTTCTGAACCACCGCAATTCATCACCAAATTTACTATCGATAAACAAATAATTGCGTCAATATTGCAGGGATGAAGAACCAGTTTTCGTGAATTTTCACATTCTCATTAACTAATTGCTGACAGAATCCAAACCCGGAACACAACTTTGAGATAATTTCTTATGTATTTCGATAGTCCAGATCGAGACGTTTCCAAAATGGGGTCAAACTTGTCTATCGAAGCCATAGAACCAGAGTTATAACTGTTTGATTTTCAAGACTTGGATTTTATATTGCATATGAAAATTTCCGTGCTTTCTTTCCTTTTAACTAAATCGAGTTTGTTCACGGAAGAGAGAAATTTTCATATCCCAGCTAATATACCATAAGCACACGCGAATCGTGTGCTTATCCACATTTTGGCTTTGATTTCCTCTCAAATAAACATCCTCTCATTCTTTTCCCATTCTTATTTTCCATTCAACCCAAGCAAAGAATCGATCTGGCTCTTTTTCTTCCCGATACTATAAAAGAAAATCGTATCAACAAAAGCCAGTCTTTTCTCCCAGGGAAAGGAAGAAAAAAAACTCCGACGGATTATCATCAGACAGAGAGTTTCATCTGTGATATTTTTAAATATGATTTTTCAGCGAAATTTTTGTTTAAGATCTAATTTTTCGCCCCAAAAACAATTCATGTAAATTTTCGGATTACTTTTCATTCACTGACAAAACAATCTCTCTCTCTCAAAATCCCTTCCAAAAACGTTAATAATTGGGAAAAACGAATGTTCAAAGGCATAAAACCTGCTGGAGGCGTTGATTTTGTATGGAGAAAATGTGTCTGAAAAACCCTTTTTGTAGTCTAAATGCCAACTTTTGCAGGAGTTCAATTCATTTTCACCCAAGTTCTCAATAGCCAGAAAAGTTCCTTCGCTTCACCCTTATTCGCCTATATCACAATTATCGAGCAATTTATTCACACCCTTTTAGTATTGCTTCATTGAAATTCAATTAAGCGGAAAATTTGAGAGCCTTCATCGAGCCTTCGTGCAGGAATTTCCCTTCGAAATGTGTGACACAGGGATAGTGGGTGTGTGTGTGTGAGAAAAAGGAGAAAACTACGGAGTTAATGCACAACCTTTCGCACATAAAACTTGTGTTCGTCTTGTGACAAATTTTGATTCTCAATTTTCGATTCCCTCAAGATCCCCCGAGGCTGTTCCTGAGCACGATTCACTCAATGGGACTTTATCAATTCCAGTCACGATTCAAATTTTTGCGTGACTACTCCGCATTTCATAGTCTCCGTGGTTAAATACTGCCTCAATATACATATTGCAGGGCTCACAATGCCAATTATGTGTGTGTGCTTCAGACGAAATTCCACGGGGACTCGTCAGGAGGCAAATATTTTGTAAAATGATCCCTCTTCCCTCTGGATTTTAATTTTACATTCGTCTGCCTTTCACCATCATGTCACCGTTCTTTTCCCAAAGAAAGAGAAAAAGTTGCTTTTACATGAAGCTTTTGCCATTGTTAAGCCATCCAGTGTTAAGAAGTGACAAAAAGTTATTCATAATTTTATTTATACATCTCACAACGCTTTTCCTGTTCAATTCAGCATGAAGATATGTTCAGACAGAATTTCAACTTCGTGCAAAAGTTGAGGGGAAATTCAGTGAATTGAATAAATTGCGAATTGTATGTGAATTCAAGTGCATTTCCCGCCAATTAATTCACTTTGTTCATCATGTTTTCCCTGACATTGTATTAATTGGAAATAGATAATCGACCAAGAATGATGTTGAGTGGAATTTATATGATTTAAGCGAAAGCCAGTCACCTTTTCGACACTCTCAATCGCTATACTTTCACTGAAAAACCACGGTTTTTCCCACAACCAGAAGTTCGAGAGCCACAAAAATTTCCCGCCCACTTTAAAGCTGAGCCAGACGCAGGAGTGAAAAAAGCTCCGCTTTTATGACTTTGCGCTCAATTGGGGGGCAAATTCATAATGAAGGAGAAAATTATTGCATTATTTTCCCAAGAAATTTAATTAAAACTCCAGAGAGACGAAGAAGTTTGTGGATATGTCTTCAACTGTGGTGTGAAATTGGACTTGATAGAGTGATTAAAATTCACCCTTCAAACTTTCGGAAAAGTATATATAATGGTAATTTTTCAATTTCTCAATTTCTCATGTTCGCCACTCATCGTCTGGGCGTCTCAAGAGACGTGTTGACTCAATTCGTGTGTGTGTCTTTAGCGTAATCACGTGTGAATTTGCTAAAATAATAATTACATTACTGCGAATACTTGTGAGAATATTATACTCTCTCTCGCTGTGTGTGGAAACTAAAAGTGTTTAGTCATAAATGTAATGAGTTTTTCCCTTCATATCAAATGATTCCATTATGAGCGCAGAATGCTCAGCAACACACAAGTTAACTTTGTGCGTCCTATATTCTCTCTTGTGGATAGCATAATGATAGAGGGCGTCCCTGCGAAGGCCTGAAAGAATGAATTACAAATAGGACGTAATTAAATCATAATTAATGGTGTTTCCCGTGTGAAGTCCTCATGTGGGTTCACTTTGTCGTGCCCATTTTAATGCCCCGCCGTCAGAGTGGCTCTTCAAGTGTCGGCATAATTGCATAATTCCTGCTCATATCCAGACACTTCACGCGAATCCACCCCCGCGCATTCGGTTCAGCAGTTCATCATCACTTCAGTGTCCTCCCAAGGAATAGATATTATGGCCGGAAGTGGTGTACAACTTCACGGAAGAGTTAAAATATATCGAATATTTGCACTGCAAAACGTTCCATTTCAACAAATTCAGGCATTTTCTACACAATTCTGTTTAAAAATGTCAATTATATTGCTTTTTCTAGGTTATGTGATTGATTTAAGACAGATTCTGGGGTGATAAAAGATTCCTCAAAGCATGAAAATTGTTTTTAATCTGGGTTTATTTCTCTTTTTCCTGGCAAAGTTGAGCTTTTTCTGTTTAAAGTAACTTCATATTAGGTGAGAAAAAGCTTAAAAGTCATTCATAATCTCAAAAATTGTATTTCAGTCTAGAAAATTGTGTTTTTGCTTAGGTTTTTCCGCGATTTATGCTAAAAAATTGCAAATTTAACGTCATTATCTTGTAGAAACATTGTGTTCTTCGTTGTTTCTTCATTTTCTAAAACATAAAATTAGAAAATCAAGACACAAATTTGCTATTAATGAGTGAAAGAACATTAAAATCATTTTTTCTATCCAGAATCTAAGCATTTGAAGAGCTTAAACTCCTTGAGACGGAAAAACCTGGATTAGATTTGTAATAAGTCAGAATTTCGTGTAGGAAACAGTTGAAGAAGTGTAAGAAATGCCTTCAAATTTATTTAGAAGTGTCTGGAAGTGGTGTACCGATTTGAGACATATTATCTCCCCCTTGTGTCGTCCTCCAATTTAATATTATTAAGTTTAGATGCCCCGGAGACTCAATAAAGGTGAGAGCAGTGCCGTATTGACTGGCAATTACATCTCTTCAAATGTAATTTCCAATGGGATTCCGAGTGGAAAACTATTTGAATGGAAGTCAGTGGCAGCTCAGCCTTTTCCGCTTCCGCTATACACTGTTGATGAGAGTCCACGTTACAATTAAGTGGATGACATGTATGCCATGACTTCCCAGGCAAACTGAACCGCATCATGCAAAGTGCGCTCTTCGTTATTTGTATTCAAATCACATTCCCAACTCTGGGGCTCCTCATGAAGCCATACGAAGATTATATTGAATATTGATGTTTTCGCAGAATTCAAATATTACCTAAGCAAGTCATTACACCAAGAAATCACACAAAAAAAGCACCGCGAAAAACCGAACGTCTCTCATATTTCACGCAAATCATTTTGTGCCCAAGGTTGAAGCTCTCATTGAGATGGAAATGTAGTACAACTAATGTGGAAATCCTGTTTGGCCAGATTTGTCACCTTTGGCAGTTGGCATTTATAGTCGCTCATTGAGTTACAATAGTTCCTAACAAAGTCTTGAACTTGGATTCTCACGCCACTTCTCATCATGTTTCCATAACATTATTCACGCGCGTCACAACTTCTGTGCGAATTCAACTATTTCATTCGCTTTATTGAAGTGTCTGGCAAATTTAATTGCTTTCAATTGATTGCAATGAATTAATAGTGAATCATAGTTAGATATAATAAGCGTGGAAAATAATAACAATGTCAAGTCAAGTATTTTTCTCACGAAATACACATTATTTCCCCACATTATGTATTTCTTATCTTCAAGTGTTCTTGACTTTTCATCGAATAGAATCGAAAGGCACCTTCAATGTGCCGTTGTTACCGGAAAAGTATGAAATTTAGAAACTTTCTTTTATATCAAGTTAATCGGAAGTTGATAAAAATGCAAATTACTATGTTATATATTCACATGCAGATAAAGAAAACTTTTATATTCTCCCCTGAGGGAAGTTTTTTTGGTTTTATTTCCCCACTTGAAAATCTCCCTCAATGAAGCAAAATTTTCAACTTGCACAAGTCAAGAAACTCCACAGAGATTTACAGTATAGAATTTTTTTATTAATATTTGTACAAAAAAACAAGAAAGAAAGAAAAGCGTACGAACGTTCAGAGGTAAAGTTTGCTTCAATAATTACTGTGTTGATTGGCATTTCTTCTCCTTCGTCGACTGCTTTCCATAAGGCTCGTCGGAGTTTGTCTCCAGGAAGAAATTTCCCTTGACATTAGTCGGGGTGGCGAAGCCCATGGGAATGGGCGGGAAGGGACACTTTTTCGACGAGTACGCCTTCAGGGAGTTGCATCGCGTGGCCATGAAAGCGTTTTCATTTCCCGGATACACACTCTCGGCGTAGTATCGCCACGCCATCGAGTGCGAGCAGCTGATGTCCAGGCATCCCGGCATCAGGACCTTCACACCATTGGGATAGAAGTCCACGTCGCCGATGGGCTCCTTCTTGCCCAAGCCGTCGGAATTGCTGTGAATGACATCCACAAAGTCCGCGTCTCCGCGCCGAAGACCGTGCAGAGATTCGCCGTGATTGAAGCACGGCCGCGCGGGATCCAGGCCAGTTATCCTGGGCAGGGTTTTGTTGGTCAGCAGCTCAAAGTATCGCCCAATGGCACCGGAAATGTGAGCTCCCAAGCTGTGTCCCATCACGTGAATCTGACTAACGTTGACGTACTTCGCGAGATCGCGAACGGCGGGCGCAATAATTTCACCCACTTCTTCCGTGTTCACAGCTGACCACAAGTACAGTGTCGTGATGTACTCCGCCGTGTCCACGTACTATAAATATCCATGCGTGGTAATGAGAAGACAGAAGTATTTTTAAGCTAAATTGTGCGTCAACTTGCCAGCAGATTTGTATCTCCTCTGCACTGATAAGCATTGTACATCGCCTTCGCGACACTATTGGTGGAATCCTTGGTGTTGGACATCCAGCCAGTGACCAGAATCACCACCGGAGCGTTCTTTTTGAACGAAGGATGCTGCACGAGACTGTCCATGTCGTCCAGGGGAAACGAGGCATTTTCACTCTCCTCATACAGGATGATACTCAAGTTCCTGAAGTCAGGCTTGTCCTTCTCATCCCGGCTCAGGTTCGTGTCTGTCGCCACGGCGAGTGAGCAGAAGGAATTCACGCCATCCAGCACGACTTTCGAAGGCAAACCGAAGAATGCCTCCTTGCCCAAGTTTCCCAACTCCTGCACCGTCGGGATGAATTGTGGGGCATTCATCAGGATGTCAACGCTCTTCCCCACACCCAATGCCACGCCACTCGTCACGCGATCCACGAAACTGAGCTCAGGTGCACCGTGAGCACGCTCATGAGTATGTGCGAGAATAATGCAAAATATGCCAAAATTCACAAACATTTTAGCAGTCATATTGAAAAGTTTTCCACCTCCGCACGAATTCTTAGCACCTCGAGCACCGCACTTGAGCACATTCATCCACAGACTCACACACAGCTCAGGAGCCATCGCTCTTTATATACCGAGAGACGTTTGTGAATTGATTAAGTCAATCTCTCTCAATTACAGGTAAATTGCGGAATTGTTAGCTGAGAATATTCTAACACTCTCGCAGTCCATCAGACAAAGCTGTGCTCCAATCGAGAAGCTCATCTCACCGAGTAGTTCCCCACTTGAGCCACTTCTGCAAGATTCAGTGCCAGAATTCCTTTAATCAAGCCCTAATGCGCCTTGGCATCTGATATTTCACTCCCTGATAAGATACCGGAGAGCATTGGACAAGGCATTGGACGAGTATTGCAATTAAAATGAAAAATTAGTGAGAGAATCTCAAGATTAGCCTTGACTCTAGGAGAATCGCAGTGAGAGTGCCTTCAATGGGCAACAAGAAGTACATAAGAAAAGCAGATAAGCACCATCTCTAGAGATTAATACACAGAGTTTTGGGTGAATTTGAGCATTTCATTTTGTACTTCTTCTCATCTCTCACACACCTCCGATTTCCCTCAAAGACACACGCAGTCTTTCACAGCTCAATTTATGCCCAATGCGAAAGGGTGACGTCTGGCGATATCCTTGTATGAAATCAAAAGCACGTTCGCTCCGCTTTAAAACACAACATCTTGCCTCGCACGGAATTGAAATCAAATCTAATCCCGTTGAGTGTGTGTCAACACTCAATACCCAGTGAAGAATGTGTCACACTTGTATAATTTTCCTCATCCAACATACATATATACAGCAGGAAGCTCAATTTTCCCTCGTTGACGCACTTATTGCAATCTTTCGATCAATATTCATGTCCTCCACCCGCCCACCGAGTCTCTGTCACGGGGTGAAAATGTATTCGAGAAAAATAAAGATGAAATGGTGGCCACTCCGGAATAGTGGACAAAGGGAAAGTCATTTCAGTCCTCAATCGGGTGAGTGAAGCTTTTTGACCTGGGCGAAATCCGGCTCTTTCTGTAATCGCGCAAAAAGTCGAAAATGCCGAAAAATCGACTAAAATGTCATCAGGGAGGCTAATTATGACTTATAGCGCCTAAAGGGTAAGAGATATCGACATGCAGTTTTCACCAAAGATCAAGAGTCCTACTGTCGCTAGAGTTTGGTGATGTCAAATCCAACCCCCCACCCCTACGTCCGCCATTTTGAACACCCTCAAAAATCGATTCGCTCATTTGTTCAACCTCTATGGGATGAATCTACTTCAAATTCTAGTATGTTATAGTGGACATTAAGGCATTTCCAACGAACCGCTACTTAAAGACCTAGGTCCTTCCAGACCCTAGATATTAGGGTCCAAATTTCGAAATAAAAAATTGCCATAACTCCGATTATAATTGTCCGATCTGAATAATTCAAAGCTTATTAGACAGATCTCATAAAATGCAATCTCCCACCCAAGCATCATAACTTGATAGGAGCACCACTAGAGGCGCTAAAGTCGAGAAAACCATTTTTGAAATTTCGATATCGAATATCTCAAAAACCAAAAAGTGGATTTTCTTTAAATTCTAGTATGTTGTAGCTGAGGTCGAGAGCTTTCCAACGAACCCCTATTTATGGAGATTGGAATGATAGAAGGAGAGATATAGCGGGTCAAAGATTACGTCTTTATCGGCCTCTATCTCTGTTTAATTTTTAAGTTTTCCTTTTGAACGTGTATTCTTTACATCCATTAGCACTTTAGCTTAGCCACAAATCGAGTCTGTCACATTCGGAGCCACCGAAAAGCTCACCCATAAGCGAAGCTTGGTTTTTTCTTCTTCTTTTTTGCCTCCTCGCCATCCACTCTCAGGCTGAATGGGAGCTTTCGGAAGGTATGGCATTTATTTGTATTTGCGAGAGGAGAAGAGAGATGTAAGTAAGTTTGAAAACAGGGGACAAACATGAGGAGTCTCGGATGGAATTCTATTGAATTTTTTATGAGACACATTTTCCCGTGTGAAATGATTCCTATCGCACCAAGTATCGCACTAAGATTTCTGAATATTTAATGCCAAATATATGATTATGGAGATTCAAGCCACCCTTTCCACACACACATGTGGTGCTCACCAAGAAGCGATTATTTAGGAATATTTCGGATGCGGGCGCCGCGATGAGTTATTGATTTGAGCACATCTTCAGCACAGTTTAGGGAAATTTCGCTGGCTTGTATCAGTTTTGATAATAGAGACATGCTTCGTTATCGCCCTCGGGGCGAAAAAAAAAGCGCCAACCCCTCGAAGTCACGCCACGCTGGGGTTCTCCGCTTCCAACCCCATTATTTTGCGTGAGTAAATACACAACCTTTCTGTGTAATCAAGTCATAATGAGCGATTAACAGCCATAGAATCATCATTAGGATGGATAAGTTTCAGGCCCAGTAGACAATCCGTCATAATAGAAAATTTCACAAGAGCCCAAATAATAAATAAATCCCGGGAATATTAATTTCCTATCGGGCGCCGCGCACTGAAAATTAAATATCATGCTTCTCTTGCTGTTATTTTTATGCAAATTTCATTAAACACGAGAGTGTTTATTGGGTAGAAATTATTTACACACATCGACCTGCCAAAATGCGGTTCTGATGGAATGAAAAGTGTGGGAAAATTTCACAAAAGAGAGAATTTTCCACTGATTCTGCAGCCCAAAGTCCTCGACTAATTAGGAAGGTAATCAAACAGGCTTTAGCCCATGCTGAGGCTAAATAATTATCTCACAAAGAGTCAGAATCAATTTAATATAACGTCTGTGGTCGCAAATTGTGACTCTGCGGTTAAATAATCTTCAAACACAGAAGAGAGACAACAACGGACATTTCCCTATTTTATATGCGTTTCACTCTCATGGCAAAGAAGCAGACAAGCAAATCGTAAAAAGCGAGCAGAGACAGCGGAAAATGAAGGTAAATAGGTTATTCTCCTCTTGAAAATTTACACTATACACACATTTTCTCTCTTTTTCTTTCAACCTCCGCCACACACTTTCATGATAAATCTCCTGTGCTGGGCGCGGAGAAATTCGGTGACTTGAGCCTCATATACTTTTATAATCCTATTATCATCCGCATGACATTATCTGTCTGTTTTGACATAATTTTCTCTCCAATTTTCCTGTGTGCTCATTTGCAAGCAAATGTTCACAAACTTCGTAATAGAGTTACCCTCAGTATTATTAAATTATACACCTCTATAATGTATCTGTCTTGCCTCGTGTAGAATTCTCCCATCTTTTTTTTCTGCCGATGGACTTTCTCCGTGTCATCGTACACTTCCAGGATCACACAGGATATCGTTTTACAGTCGGTTGAATATTCCTCCCAAAAAGACGTATCGAGAATTTCACTCACCCTTCTCATGACACGCAGCGAAAATGATGAGGTCTTCATTGTTTGTGCGTGGAAATACCTCAGCCGATGGAAATTTATATTCTGCGGAAAAGAAACACGAAAAGGCTCTCAACAAATTAGATTTCGAAGGATAATATTTTATCTATGCTATCGAGTGATTAATAATTTGCTATTTATCATGCGGAAGGGATCGCATTAAAGCATATAAAAGTCCATCGAGTGTGAATTTCAGCCCCAAAATTTCCAATACACTTTCAACTCTCTCTCTCTCTCCATTTCTGGTGGTTGAAGAGTCAAATTCCGCTGCCAAGATCAACTTCTGAATGCTGAACAGTTAGAAAATTTGAGTAGCAATAATATTCGGAAGGAAGAGCTTTATAGAAGCTCCTTTTGAATAATTACTCCGTCTTTTCGCGATGCTGGGAAAAGTGAGAAAGCGCGCACAAATTTTGGAAACAGAGCAATAAATGTTAGTGTAAAATCTTCCCAGACAAAGTGAAGTAAAATCTCAACAGTCTTTCCTTTGCTTGTTTCCCAAGATGGATGCAAAACTGGAAACTATGTATGCAAATGTCGATCATGGAGTGAAAATTTGTGTAATGATGATTGAGGGCATTCACGGTTGGGGTGAGAAGAAGAAGAAGAAGAAGGAAAGCCATAAGATTTCCACCCACATCACTATACTTTATCACTCCCATGGAAAATTGACAGTAATTGTAAAGCATGAAGAGAAAATGTAAATTTGCGTCGACATAAACATCAGAGCTTTTACAATTTCACCATTCAATTGCCAGAGCATCCGGAGGAATTTTCCACCGAGATGCCCATGGATAAGCGCTGTTTTCATGTAAACAAAGTGTCTTGAGGAGACAATATTTCCCCAGCATGCATTAATCGCCATCAAAATGGGCTCTTTATGCCATATTATTTGCAACATGAGTGTTGGCAGAAATTGATTATGTATGCCTGACTCTTTTTTCATTACACACATTTCCCTCCGACATATTGAGCATATCCTGTATTTTCCATAATTTCAATTTTCATAAATGTAAAATTCACTTAGCATACAACAACACACACTGTATCCCGTTTGAAGGTTGGTTTGAAGGAAAAACAGTGGTGTGGAAATTTGATAAAATTCTCACGAATTTATCTCAACATTCTAGAGAAATTGTTGCGAATATATATTGAACTTGCCGAAAGCTCTCATCTCGAAGAATAATAATCAAAGTTATAGATGTGTTTTAATTGATAAAACTTTCTCCAGCATCCAGAAATGAATCACGGAATGATTTTATCATTACCATGCGTCAACAGAGTCTTAGCATTGAGTGACAATTGGTCCTAACGAAAAAATAATATTGTATCAGCAGAAATGTGTGTGTGTGTGTGATGCTTTAATTAAAGTCCGAGAGCATTCCTTCCGCCTGACTTCATGTGGACACACGGAAATTTCCGCCAATTGGCACAATATGTTTGCTGGATTGTAGCCTTTTGCTAACACCCCACGTAGTGTATTGGATTGCAGACGGGACAAATTATAATATGAGCAACACATTTTGAGGTCGCAATCAATTTCCCATTCTGCCCATCTCACCTCTGCTCTGGATCAGGCAAATTGTCTTCATTCACTGCACACCAGAACTGAAGAACTCGCGATTCTCTCTCTCTTTTTTCTCTCTAATTCACAATTACGCACATAAACTCCCCTTTAGCACCGATTCTCGCCACTTCAATCGACAGTGTATAGACGTTAGAAATATCCACTCGGGGTGAAGTAGAAAAAAAAAACGGTGAACTATCAAAGATACACGCCTTTCTTGGCACCCTTGAAGCACACGAGAGGCAGTGAATCGACGCGACTCCTGCCTGGCAATCGCCTGTGGCTGTGGAAAATGCAATAATCTTACTTGTTGCACCGAATCGGGAGATCAGGGGGTGAAAGCTCACTGGCGCGGAGCTCGCGTGTGGGCGCGTGTGGGTGAGAATGCGAGATGGTCGTAATGAGGAAATGGTGGCTCTTCGCTACACACTCCCGTCGAGAGAGAGAGGGTTGCAGGTGAAGACTTTGGGGGAGATGTGAGAGTCGCGGCCGGACTGATGCGATGCGATCTATCGTGCGACAGGGCGGCAACTGGCTGAAGCATCCCAAGCCATTGGGGATGGCTGTGCTTGATGGCTGGAGCGCCAGAGAATCATCAAGTCGCCATCCTTCACGAACCGCCAGGCGGCGACACCACGCAGAGGAAAAATCCACTCGGCAAGGACTCAACTGGTAGACGAGGCTCAGCCGACTGGCGAAGCCCGAGCGTGCCAGCAGACGACAATGAGAGAGAAATTGCAAAAGTACCATGGCTGGTGCGTTGCGGAATGATATTCGCATGTGTATCAAGGCCAAGGAGGCTGAAGAAAGGGATATAATTCGATTCCTTCTCACGGGGCGCCCTCAAGACAGAGGCGCCCGCCCCATATTTTTTATATTATGTCTCTCAAACTCCCATATAAGCAGCTCTTCGCATTACATTATGTATATTCGAGAAGTTTTCCCAGTGACACCCAAACAGTTTTTTTTCTGTTGTTCTTCCTCCTCCTCCTTCAGCACCGCAGACAACCTTTCGACAGCAGATCCGAAGGACCTTCTCCCACTGTAATTGTTCTCCAACAATTTATCATCTACACTTCTCCAGTCATAACTCTGTGGCTTGAGTTTTATGAGTTGCAGCGATGCAATTGCCACTGAAACTCATATTTATTTCGCCTTCGGAAATAATATGGAATGCCAGAAATCCACCAAAATATCCAGAGCAAGGAAATTGTATAAATCAAAAGTTATTTCTCATCATCAAGTTGAAGCCAAGTTTCGATCACATTTAGCGCGACAGACGCATTTCTCTCTCTCTGCCAATGCGTAGGAGACGGGAAATTAAGTGTTTTCGGGCTCTTTTCGCATAACCTTTATTTTGGCTTGCCTTAAAAATAATCCGCTAAAGAGCAAGTATTAAATATTCATTAACACGCCGAACAGACTCAACCTTTATAACAGTTGAGGGACTTTTTTCGAGCGGGGACTTCTCTCTAGGGCACTCGCTCTAAGACCCTTTTTTGCTCTAGCGCTTTGGAGCTTTCGTGCTTCTGTGCTACAGTTAAGCAGACAGCGCCGATTTTAATGCTAAACGCGGCGCTATCGGCAATTACTCAGTTATACTTTGCAGACAGCAAAGTATCGCGGAAATAGACATAAAATATCACAAATTAACTATTTAATTCTCCGTCATAGCCAAAAACACAAATTTAAAGTGCATTTTATGCAAGGTTTTTATTTCTCTCTTTTGCCACAAAATTAAAATTATACAAAATCATAAGCATTATTTTATATGGAAGTTTTTGGTGTCAATTCTTACAGAATTTTTGAGATAATTTCGCTAAAAAAATATAAAGGTCGCGACTCATTGCATTGTTAGTTCCGTATTTAATACCACGAATGGTGAATATTCTGAGTAAACGCTAGTGAGAGCGTCAGCGAGATCTAGAGCCGGGAATCAGGTTGAATCACACCCCATCAAAAAGCGTTGATCTTTATTCGCGGCGTCTTTTGGTCCAGGAAAGTACAGAAGGTGAACTGGTACTGCAATATTCTGGATAGATCTTGGAAGAATTCCCCTGAAAATATCATAATCATTAACTTCTAATCATGATTTAATTTGATTTTAATTACTCACCGTAAATTTTAATTCGGGACGAAGGATTTCCTGATAAAAACTGATGATTTGCCTCGCTCAGCGTCTACCGCGTGTTCTCGTGTTGTTTCTAAATCAGTTCACAGTGATTCTTTTCCTCCAGAAATCGTCCTATTTCAGTTTGTCAGCAATTCATTGGCGTGATGCTGAAGAATATGCGCACGGAAGACGTTCTTCGGCAATTTCTCTCTGAGCTCATCTTCTGCAACTCGCCTTGCAGTTGACCGACTTTTATCACTAATCCTTCGCAGAAGATGCAGCTTTTTATCCGGAAACATCTTCCACTCTCACTTCTCTGCAATATTCTTCACGTCTTGCTCACACATTTCACGAAAAACTAAATATTTCTTGCCAATTTCCAAAATATTGGCCTCAGAGTGACGTTCAAACGAATTGGCACAATAGTAGAACAGTCCGACGAGTGCCGAGCGGCTGTGCTAATCACCCGAGCTGTGACGACACTTGAAAAAGGCACCCTACAGTGTCGATTCTCTTTTTCACTCTGCCACACAGCTGAGTATATTAACATGTTTTTCACGAAAATGAGAATTTTCACGGTAAAAATTCTATGAAACGTTAAATAAATGCAGAGCGAAGGTGATCTGATCGTTTTCCGCGATCTTCCCGAACAAAAATTGGCCGAAATAGGCATTTTGGGAAAAAAGGTCCCGTAAGGGCGTAAAAAAGTCCCGGGTCTGTGTAATCAATGTAAAAAGCCCAGTCTGTTCGGGGTGTAAAGGAGAAAACTGAATGATTTGCTCGTGGTGGAGAATGTTTCCCCGTCGCACGAATAATTTATTTCGCAAGCTAAGAAGCTAAATTCAGCCCAAGAATACACCAGAGAATATATTAGGTGATTAATATTGTATAATGACTGCCGCAATATCCTCGCAAGATAATTCAATTTACCAACTATTAATATGTCTTTTAGTAGTTCGTGAACCCCTTAAATATCGCCGGAGAACTTAATTGAATTGTGTCTCTCTGTGTCCTGTGAAGTTGTGTTGATTGAGAAGCTCTGAAGCTTTCTATGTATGAAAAGGGAAAAAAAATTGTTTCTCTATGGTTTGATGGCGAAAAAGAGCGCAAAAGAGAAGAACGACAGACAGGGTCAAGATGTGGAAAGGAATCCAGGCGAAACGCAGAAAATAAAATATATTATTATTTATCATTTGCTCACGAAGCAATCAATCTATCTCAATAGTCGTGAAGCTGACTTCTCCAGAGAAATCCCTGAGAGTGATTCTGTCCTTCAGACGCTCTCCATGTCGCCCTTTTCGCTCCTTGGGAATGCGGAGGGAAAAATTAATGAAATTTCTCTTCACTGCGTCCAATGGGGAAATTCGGACAATTTTGATTTATATTACTTTTCATTGTGTTTCCGAGAGCCCAAAAGGAATTTATACACTTATTTCATCTCGCCCAAGAAATGCTGCTCTCCAGACAGACAAACTTCCCTCCACGAAGCGTCCAAAAACTTATGAAAGTCCAATCATTTCCGAGTGATTGGCTGTGAATGTGTCTGCGATCGTTTTGGAGGACTTTCAGAGCTTTGTAGTCTCGCACACAAAAGGAGAAAAAGATACACATTTGTCCCTTAAAAAATCACCCAAAAAATATATACGCCAATAACGCAACAATATGAGATAAGCGAATAATTCCTAATAAAACCCCAATTTTTCTTTCAACTTTTACACTTTGCTCGCTTCGCGCAAATTGCAACAATCAAGGGGACAATCACTCGCAAGTTGAGACCATTAACTTTGTGATTATTCAATCATTTTTTTGGATTATTTGTGATTATTATTCAAATTTTGAATATTTTATACAAGATTCTGATTTTTTTTGATTATGTTCTGAATATTTGATAAAAAATTATTTATTTCATACAAATTTTGAATTTTTTTCTGAATATTTAATCAAATTTTGAATATACCTAATTAAATAATAGTGAATATTAGGAATATTCTGATTCATTGATTGAAAAAAATTATTTTTCTTGATTATGTAATTCAGAATTTGATTATTTTAATTAGTTTTCAATTTCACGTGGAAAAATAAAATTCTTTTTTGGTTTTTTATTCAGAATTTGATTATTTTTCAATTTTAATTGGAAAAATAAACATTTTTAAAATTATTTTATTCAGAATTTCACTATTTTTCAATTTCAATTGGGAAAATAAACATTTTTTTTAAATTATTTTATTCAGAATTTCACTATTTTTTAATTTTACTTGGGAAAATAAGCTTTTTTTAAAATTATTTCAATCAGAATTTGACTATTTTTCAATTTTAATTGGGAAAAGAAACATTTTTTGATTATTTTAACATTAAGATTCCTCAAAAGTCGCCTTGTGATTTGCCCCTTGGCAACAATTCTCCACTCGTTCATCACATTCGCGACAATGCTGCAAAATGAACTCGCATTATGTTGAGAGCTGCCAAAAAAAATCATATGAAGGGTAATTTCAAAGTAATAAATTTTGATGGAGAGGAAATCTTCCTTTTTTCTCTCCCTTCGCTGGCTTTGACATGAAAAATATGTTGCTGAAAAGCGTACAGAATACTAAATTGCCATTCTTTTTGCTATCATCGCAAAATTATTAGCAAATATTGACAGAAAATGCAGAAGCGAGTCTGAAGAACAGAGATTCTGCGAGAGGTCACAAGAGCATTATTAATCTGCCTTCACTGTTCTCGTGCTGATTTAATTTCGTCTGCCATCAAAAGCAAATCCATCACGCCGCAGCTTTTTCACAATGTTCATCACATTTATGACAATGTGAGGAGATTTTGTGTGGTTGGAAATGAGGAGAGTTTCACTGCTGAATTTAATTGCATCTCTTCCGCATGTTGATGCGATTATTTGAAGCCGAAATCTATATGGAAATTAGTTAAGCTTCGAAATAGTGCTTTTGAGTGGCTTTTAGTGATAATTTATTGATTTTTTTCCCTCTTCGATTCGCTGTATTTCATTCTATTTCGCTATAAAGCTATCCTGTGCAAATTTTCGTCAATTGTGGCCCTTAAGGACTACAAACACTGTGTGAAGGATAGCAATTGATTCATGTGAAAATCTATATGAGAAAATATCAAAAAACAAAACTGCCCCGTTTCCCCCTATACATATAAATATAGTAATTAATTGTGTATTATTTCTACATGGAATTTCGTGAGGATTTTTTTAAAAATAATTTTTTTTCTGTATTAAAGAAAACCGCGCATAAGTAGAAGTAAAATAATAATAGTAATTCTTATACAATTAAAAGAATTTTTTATTTCGTATGTATAATTAAATGCTTAGATATCCTCATCCCCTGTATTATTTACATAAGTATGAAATAAATGACAAAAAGACATATTCATGGGCGAATAATTCCTCAACATCGCCGTGATTTCCAGCGAAATCGCATAAAAGTGGAAATTTTGGATTCCCGGCGGGAAAGGAATTCCCGGGCAGTACATTGGGCAACACTAGAGAAATTCGTGTTCGCGCATCTGTCGTTCTGCTTTTCTCGCACATTTCCCTCCAGTTTCCCAGTGATAATGTCCTCCACGAGGCTCTTGGGTGCTTCCCGAGTAGTCAGGCGACTCTTCTCCACATCACGCGCGTGCAATCAGCACGTGAGATGCCTTCAGAGCAGAGGAAACAGTGAGAAATATCTCTTCTGAGGTTATGTTGCTTTGTTTTCACATGCGTTTCGGGGGCGCCTTTTCAGGGCAGTTCACCTGGACAAGATGCATGAGCACGGTGAAGGCCGAGGAGAGCTATCACTCCATCATTAGGGACAGCGAAAAGACCACGGGGAATGTGAATAAGCATGAATTCCAGGCGGAGACGCGAATGCTGCTTGATATTGTGGCCAGATCGCTGTATTCGGAGAAGGAAGTGTTTCTCAGGGAGTTGATCTCGAACGCCAGTGACGCCCTGGAGAAGTTCAGATACACCATTCACACAGCCGGCGAGCGGGAGAAGGACTACGTGGAGACAGACAGATCGCTGGAGATTCACATTGGCACTGACAAGCAGGCGAGAACGCTGGCCATTCAGGACACTGGCATTGGGATGACGAAGGAGGAGTTGGTGGCCAATCTGGGCACCATCGCGCGCTCCGGGTCGAAGAGATTCCTCGAGGAGATCAGAGAGAAGGGCCAGAATGCTGAGAACTCGTCGAATATCATTGGCCAGTTCGGCGTGGGCTTCTATTCTGCCTTCATGGTGGCGGACAAGGTGGAGGTCTTCACCAGATCCTCGCGAGCGGACTCTGTGGGGCTGTGCTGGAGCTCCGACGGCTCCGGCACGTATGACATCCAAGAGGCCGAAGGTGTGGCTGTCGGCACGAAGATTGTGCTGCACTTGAAGCCCGACTGTCGCGAGTATTCCGATGAGGATCGCGTGAAGGAGGTGATCAAGAAGTACAGCAACTTTGTAGGCAGTTCCATCTACCTGAACGGCCGCCGGGCGAACAATATCGAGCCCGTGTGGCTGCTGGAGCCCAAAGACGTCAAGCGCGAGCAGCACAACGACTTCTATCGCTTTGTGGGCAACACTTTCGACACGCCGCGCTTCATTCTGCACTACAAAACCGACGTGCCGCTCAGCATCCGCGCCCTGCTGTACTTCCCGGAGGGCAAGCCCGGTCTCTTCGATCTGTCCAGAGACGGTGACATTGGCGTGGCTCTGTACACGCGCAAGATCCTCATTCAGTCGAAGACGGAGAACTTGCTGCCGAAGTGGCTGCGCTTCGTGAAGGGTGTTGTGGATTCCGAGGACATCCCGCTGAATCTGAGCAGGGAATTGCTGCAGAACAGCTCTCTGATCCGCAAGCTGAGGAATGTGCTGACGAACAGAGTGCTGCGCTTCCTGCAGGATCGCGCCCAGAAGGAGCCCGAGGAGTTCGCCAAGTTCTATCGCGACTACGGACTGTTCCTCAAGGAAGGCATCGTGACGAGTGAGGAGCACAAGGACAAAGAGGAGATCGCGCGCCTGCTGCGCTTCGATTCCTCCAGATGCACCGCAGACGCCGAGAGAGTCAGCCTGCCCGAGTACGTAGCGCGCAAGAGTGAGGAGCAGAAGGACATCTACTACCTGGCGGCGCCCAATCGCACCCTGGCCGAGTCCTCGCCCTACTACGAGGGGCTGAAGAAGCGCACCGTGGAAGTGCTCTTCTGCTACGAGCCCTACGACGAGCTGGTGCTGATGCAGCTGGGCATGTTCATGGGCTGCAGTTTGGTGTCCGCGGAGAAGGAGATGCGCCTGGACAAGGGCGCCACCGCAGCGACAGATCTGGGCGAGGGAAGTCTCCTAAAGACACACGCTGATGATCTCTGCTCGTGGATTCGCCAAGCGCTGGCTGGGAAGGTGGCGAATGTCACGCTGACGTCACGTCTCGATGCGCATCCCTGCGTGGTGACTGTGGAGGAGATGGCGGCCGCCAGGCACTTCATCAGGACGCAGAGTCATCAGCTGAGCGAGGAGAATCGCTTCGCGCTGCTGCAGCCGCAGCTGGAAATCAATCCCAAGCATGCCATCGTGAAGAAGCTCCACAAGCTGAAGGACTCTAATCCTGAGCTGGCCACGCTGCTCGTGGAGCAGCTCTTCGCCAATGCCATGGTCGGTGCCGGACTGTCTGAAGATCCTCGGCTGCTCCTCGTGAAGATGAACGATTTGCTCGTCAAGGCACTGGAGCCGTTCTAAAGCGAGGGGGAATTTTCTGCATTCTGTCTGTTATTGTAAAATAATAAATAAAAATGCTATTTTAGTGTCCTTAAATAGTACAGCTTGGACGTCGAGTGATAATTGATTTTTCCCCTCTTAGATTCGCTGTATTTTATTCAATTTTGCTATAATTAGCGATAGAAAGCTCAATTTTCAGCATTTTCACGTGACTTTAAATGCTTTAATTATTGAGTTTATTTTCAATTGAAATAAATCTTGATCAAAGCAGACTTTGAGTGAGCTTAATCAATTCATATATAGCGAAGCTTTTTACACCCAAAAGCTGTAATTTGCATGCAAGCTCTGAATGTGCTAATAATTCAATATTTCCACTCACTTCAGCTCACCACTTCCAAATTCATTGCTAAAAATGCAGACAAAAATGCAAAAGCTTCGCGGAAAGCGCACTGATTGCGTTTGAATGGTTTGAATTGCGGGAAAATGTGTGAAAATTCACTGGCATGCGGGCAGTCGGTAAGGCAGAGCGGCGCGCAGTGACGTTTTGTCACTTTGGCCAGTGTTTTTTCTCCTCGCCCGTGAATGATGTGGTTCTGCGGAAAATGTGAAAAGCCAGCCAAATTGGTCTCCTAACACTGTAGCGCAATAGTTTTGCACATCGAGCGAGAAGCCGTTTTCGTGGCGTGAGTGCGCGTGAAGGGCTGGACAATGGCTTACCAGACGTTCCGGCAGGAGTACCTGCAAATTCCCATAGTGACTCGCATCTACACGACAGCCTGTGTAATCACAACTTTGGCCGTGGTAAGGCTGCGACGCGTGCGATATTGATTGGGCGGCCGCCGCGCCACCCATCAGGAGGAGGCCCAAGGGATGCCCTGGGAAGATGTCCGCGCGGAGAGACTCCGTGGCTGGCATGACTCTGTGTTTTTCTCGCGCTTTTCCGCCGAATCACAAAGCCACACGTCATCGTGGCTCTTGTCCGCGATGGCGTGGACTTTGCCTGACCGCCTTGTCCTCTCTCTCTCGTTGCAGCACCTGGACCTCGTCTCCCCGTTCCAGCTCTACTTCAATCCCACACTCATCGTGAAGCACTACCAGCTGTGGCGGCTGGCCACCACATTCCTCTTCTTCGGCACCATCAGCTTCAGCTTCCTCTTCAACATGATCTTCACGTACAGGTACTGCCGGATGCTGGAGGAGGGCAGCTTCCGCAGCCGCAGCGCGGACTTCGTCATGATGTTCCTCTTCGGCGGCGTTCTTATGATTGTGAGTCCTCAAACTTCTCTTGGAATTCTTCGAGCGTGTCACACTTTCCCAGCGTCAATAATTAACTTTGCTGCGTGACAATTTCTCTAAACATCCGCCAAAGTGCAGCTCAAGGGGCGATAATGCATCAGAAGTGGTGTACAAGTCATGACAATGCGTCTTGGCTGGCTTTTCTAGGTCAATTTTCTTATGTTATGGACGGAATTAGAGGCTGAAAAACATGCCAAAACATGAATTTTATCCAAGAAATTCAATTAGATTATCAGGAAAATGTTTATTTTAAGAGTTTCTAGACTGATTTCATATCTCTTAACAGTGGAAAATATCAAATCTTAGTAGATTGAAGAGGATTCTTTAAGATTATTGCTAGAAACTTAAGAAATCCTTTGTAACGAGAATTCCAGAACAAAGTTTTGCAGTTTGTCCTCGAACTGAAAGCTCAAGAAATCATTCAAATTGCGATGTGACAAAGGAAGTTTTGTACAACTTTAAGTCATTGTCTTTGCCTTGGCGCAAATTGCGATGTTACTTGAGCGTGAAAGGCGTTTTAGTCTCGTATTGATTCTGGCTTTCTCATCGGGGCTCAAGCGAAGCGTTTCATTATTATGCTTCTGCATAATTGATGCGAAGCAATGACGATTAGCGATGCTTGTCAATAACTTAAGCTGAGGATGGATTCAAGGATTGCGGATTTATCGAGTGTTGCTCAAGTGAGGAATGAATGAAGCATTTTAGCTGTTTCAGTTGGAATATGAAAGAATATCCAAGAATGGATGGAAATATAAGTGAAAAATTCCATGGAATTGATTGTAAACTTGGAAAAATTTCCTCTCTCTGAGAATAAAGCAATTTCGAGCATCAGATTGGGTTATTAGAGATAATTCTTGAAAAGATTAAGAAAAAAATGCTGATAAAAAACTACAAAAAATGAAGGAAAATACAAGAAAAAGGAAAGAAGTAAAAAAAATCACAACTGAAGGAGAATCGAACCCGCGACACTTCACGATCTTGAGCTAAATTCTCTTATAATGAAGATTTGCGCTGAAATTTCTACATAACTTTCTAACTAGACGAGTTCAAAAACACAATTTCGAATTAATTTCGGAGGGAAAGAATATTTCGAAGAAAGGATTGGAATGAATTGTAGAATATTATGGAAATTTGAGGAATGGTTAATTTATCGATTGACTGACAAATCTCTCTCTCTGAATTCCCAGATATCGGCGATTTTCGTGAACCTGCTGTTCCTGGGCCAGGCCTTCACGATAATGCTGGTTTATGTGTGGTCGCGCCGCAATCCGTCGATCCGGATGAACTTCTTCGGGCTGTTGAACTTCCAGGCGCCTTACCTGCCGTGGGTGTTGCTCAGCTTCTCCGTGATCCTGGGCAACACCATCTGGGTGGACCTCATGGGCATGATCGTGGGCCACGTGTACTATTTCCTCGAGGATGTGTTTCCCAACCAGCGGAATGGCTGCAAACTGCTCATCACGCCGCAATTCCTGTGAGTTTCATCGCTTTTCTCCCACAATTGCTCAACTAATCCGCGTGCGCTTTGCAGGAAGAGGATCTTCGATGAGAACGAGCAGAATCCCGAGTACGCAGCGCTGCCGGAAGATCGTCCGGGTGGCTTCGATTGGGGCGAGCGACTCAACCGGCCGGCGAATGCGCAGGAGAACAACAATGCGCAATAGCGCGAGTGTGAAGTTGCATCGCGCAGCGTCTCTCTCGCTTGAACACCGTTTGTACATAGGCGCGCCCCCGCAGAGAGAGAGCCGCTGACACATTTGTCCATATTGTGCCGCAATTTTGTATACAGAAGAAGGTGGAAAAGGAAAATCAATTAAATAAACACAATAAATTATAGACGATCAACGACAATCCATCTTGACGGAGGAGGAAAAAACGCTGCAATTTCTTAAATTCAATCTGTGTCTTTATTTCTAATTCTCACATTACAATTTTTCTTTATCATTTAGCAACGCCCTAATCGCTAACTCTTTATCTTTTCCTTTTCATTTTTTTTTGAATATATTTGCAATTTCACTTTTCTCTGGTTTCATTTTTTATCTTGTCAATAACATATTTGAATTTCATTCTCTGCCAGTTTAATTGATATCATCATTTATTTGTAAAAAGGTATCTGAGAAACCTAAATATTAGGCAAAAAAAAACTATGCACAATGAATAAAGAAATTTACAAAGAGGAGAGACGAAAAGAAATATCAAATTCTCACACATGTTAAAGGGCTCTTAAAGCGCACATTCAAGAAATTTTCTTTATAATTTTCAAATGAAATTTCACAAAAAAGAATAATTCAGCTAAACTTATTAATGCCAAATGATGTTTTCTCAAAACAGAAGAAAATACACCATTATTATCACCAGTCGCAGATATTGTTTTTCTGAGTGTGTGTCTCAAAACCTGACGCTCCGCCCTCTAACACGCCACGCCCACTTCCCTTTCTCAAAAGGAATACAGAAAGACAATTTCATCTACAAATTACAGTATTGCTTGAGATTAAAGTCCCGTTCTAGTAACATTTTCTCTCTCTCTCTTTCTCTCATCTTCTGTTTTAAATATACAAAATAGCATTAAAAACATCATGTTTCGTTGCGGATATTTTCCATCATCTTGTCTTCTTCTTCTTCTTCTTCTTCTGTTTTTTTGGCTTTCACTTCTTCATCATAGTTTCATTCGCCGGAAGTTCATATCTACATAATTCACACTCATCTCTTGCCATTCTCGCTTATGATCTGTTTATGTGTGTTTGTTTGTGTTCTTGAGAAGCAAATGCACAGTTCTATTTAGATTAAAATTTATCACTTCACTCTCTCGCTCTCTCGCTCTCTCTCTCTTTCTAGAAAACCCCCCGCGTCATTATCATCTTCCACTCTTCGTCGACCCAATTTTCAAATGAGAATATCTACTTTTTTTATGCACCTAGAAAAACATTCAACTCAAGAAGAAACACTTTTTTCTCTCTGCCTAACATTATCGAAAACTGAAAGTCGTCCGTTTTTCGTCTCGTGTCGAAAATCCTCCCACAAAATTGGGCCCTTTTACACTCGTCCTCACGCGCTTCTTCTTTCAGAGTACCACCGTGGCCAAAACCACCGTAATATCATCTGGCTTTCCACCTGCAAACACAAATCACAAGGAATATCAGCATCAAAATGATCAAAATCAAGAGAAAAAGTCCTCAAAATCCTCACCTATAGCATTAATGTTGTTTTTCCTCGCATTTATTGCAAACGGCGACATGAATTCACTGTCAAATGCTAATGATCTCGCCATCAGGGCAATTGTATTTGCAGTCATTTGCAACTTTACAGCATCTTGCTCTCCTTCAACCTGCAAAATGACAGAGAATAAGTCACATTTTTATGGTTAAAACAACCACTTTTCCAGCAATAACAGGCGCGTGTCCCATTTTTGCACAAATACAGTGAATTACAATGGAATAAAGCAACTTGTGTTCATGTTTTTTTTGCTTTTCATCATCATTTCATTGAATTTCACAATCACAAAGACTCTCCCAAAAGCACTGTTAGAAGAGGAAGAGCATGAATTAACAACGACAAAGAGTCACATTATCATCGTTAAAACACCTTGAATGCTTAAAAGCCTTACAAGCAATGCTAAACAGACTAAAGAAAGCTCTCAAGCCGAAAAAAACCATTGAAAATCTTCGGCAAATTGTCAAATATGGAGACAAAACGTCTTTTTGGGGGCATTGGCCAGGGATCTATCCTTGGTCCTTTGCTCTACATTGAAGGTGATCCTACAAATCCTTCCCATGCTTTCTAACTCAAAAATTGAACATGCTAACTTTCCTTACTTCACTGTTCTTCTTAACTGTGAAGTCATTCCTTACGCTGATAAGGTTAAAAATCTTAGTATTGTCTTTAACTCCACTCTATCCTGATCTGATCACGCCATTTCCTTTCGTCGTAACATCAACTATTCTCTTTATGTCAATTTCAACTCATTCACCCTAATTCTCCATCTTTTCAGCGATTACAGAATTGCCGCTTATCCTCCAATCGACGCGAACTCGGATCAATCCTCCGTGGATGAGCCTGTAGTGTGTAAAAATCAGATCAGCGATAATTCGTGGTTGATCTGCCACTAAACACACTCAGTTGCTCTTCTTTGACGACACTAGCCCCACTATGCTTTGGTGTGTTCAGCTGTCAGTTGATTTGCATACTTCAAAAGAGTGAAATTTTACGTTAAAATTGCGAAAATTGATGATTCGCAGAAGAATTTAATGATTTTTAATGGTGAAAACACAGCATTTGTAATTTGTAATTTGTTCACGAACGTCTCTTTCTTCCCTACGCGAATCGTATATTTTCCTTCCTGCTCACGACATTTCTATGTCGAGTGTGTGCCTGCAGATTTTACGTTGGGCAACCCGCGCTGAATTTGAGTTTGACGTGTCTGACAATGCGCTTGCTGTCAAAATGGTCAAAATAGACAAATTTCATATGGAAAATGGAGAAAATCGTCAATGAAATGAATTTAAGTGTGGAAAAAACTCAAAAATTAATTGATTTCGTCCATAATGAGCCATAATTGTGGAGAAAATCAGATTGTGTGAAGGCGTTAAAAGTTGATCTGCAGACCAAAATTCTGAAGGGAATCTGACGGGACCGAACCGAGATGGTATGAGCAAAATGCTGTGTTTTCACCATAATAATCTAGGAAATCATTCGCAAGAGATTCGCCATTTTGCCTTTCTCGAGTCGCGCAATGTTTCGGCGCATTCTCGCACGAGCGCGGTGCCGTCGCAAACCACTGAAAAATCGGCTGAACCTTCGATATATCGAGAGATTATTCGCGTTTTCTGGCTAAGCGAACTGTCAGTCGTTCACACTCGCGCTCTCGCTTATCCTCTCGTGGATCATCAGCAAGTCTGTAATCGCTTTTACAAGCCGTACAAGCAATGCTAAAGAGGCTAAAGAAAGCTCTCAAGCCGAAAAAAAACACTGAAAATAGTTGATTTGCAAAAATCCACCCGCTCTATTCCACTTGTGGCAACTGTACGTGGAGAATTTTCATCTCTCTCATGCTGAGAAACTCTTATTATTATTGTTTGCCATCGTGAGAAGTGAATTTTCCGTCTCATTCTCATCATCACAAAGAAGCACGACATTTATAATATTCATGTACAAAATGTATGTAAACTTTAATAGCTCTAATCTTATCACTAAACACACAGACTGATTTAGAATCACTTTTTAAGCCTTATATTTTTAAAAGATTCTACAAAACATTTCTCTTCCACACAATAAAGGAGAAGAAAAAAACCTTCGTTTGAGCAAAAAGAACAAGAAAATCACTTCATAAATGATGTCATATTTTTCTATAAGCGATTAAAAATTGAATTTCTCGCCATTTCCGACTCTTTTCTGTCTCTCAATCTAATCAGGGAATTTCTGTTCAGTTGAGCTATCAAAACAATACTTGAAGCAAAACGCATTTCTCACCAGACAATCTTGTTTGTTTAGCTTTAGTCGAATGCTCTGCGCTTATTTAATTTCGTGCTCTATCAAATATTTTAGTATAATTTCACTCAATTTTCATGACTTTCATTGTACAATACTTTGTAGAGGAAATGTTTCATTAATAGACATTTTTCTCTCTTTCCCTCTTTCACTCCGTGCGATCATAAACAATGATCAAGAGCCGTAAAACTACTTATTTCTACACATTATTGAGTGGGCGCGATTCAGTTTTCCTCATTTCCTGGCCTTTTGGTATCTCTCACTTAATCACACATAATCTCAACTCGCTCAACCCCAAAAAACCACACAATTTTGCCCACTTTCAGTCGGTTTATCCGCGCAAAAAGAGTCAGGATTTAGACTCAAGTAATCTTATCAAATGAAGCCATTTTTTTGGCTGAAAAACACCTTTTATCGAAAAGATGAAAAATTCTTATCGCTTCGCCTCTTGCATCACCAACAAAACTCAAGCCATTTCACCTACTTTGTAAGCACTTTTGCCTGTGTTTATTCATACAATCATTGCAATTAACACTGAAGAGATAAAATTCAAGTGTCATGATTGTACTTGCAGCAATAACTGAACTCAAGACGTGTGCAATTAACATGTAAAACATCCACTTTTGTGCTAATTTCACCCCATAAAAGTCCGTTCATTGTCAATTTATACCACAAAATTTAACGTGCAAATCGACAAGTGAATTGAAAACTAAGGAAAAAGTCAAAATAGCAATTTTTCAGCAGAACAAATTCAAAATTCTGCATTAAAAAAACTAAGAAATTTGCCAAATTTACTTCAAATTGACCATTAAAATGCAAATATTGCTTGGTTTTTATTATTTTGTAAATATTTCAGTTGATTTTATTGGTATTAAATGGAGTTATTGACTGAAATATGACAAAATTAATAGAAAAACTGAAAATACTCCTTTCTAAAGTTGATTTTTAATAGTCTTTGAGTCGATTTTATCCAAACAAGTTCTAAAAAATCAACTTTTCATACTTTACAAGTGAAAAAATTTAATAAATATGAGAAATATTCATTCAAGATCTAAAAAACATTTTAGGATAATTCTGAAAACCTAAAATTATTTTCATAAAAGACATTTTATGAGTTTGACTGCAGTTTTTAAGACATTTTCCATTTGTACTTTTTAGATAAAAAAGATTTTTTGCTATTTTCTCATAAGATACAAATTTCAAAATTTTTGTACAAAAAGGAACAAAAATAAAAGAGTTTTCCAAAAATACGAAAACTATGAAAAATCTACTTTTCTTACTTTACTTGAACTTTTATCAAAAACTTTCAAGTGAAAAAAAATTAAAAGATATGAAAAATATTCATTCAAAGTCTTGAAAAGATTTTAGAAATAATTCTGATAATCAAAAATTATTTTCTTAAAAGACGTTTAATGCGTTTGACTGCAGAATTTGATTTTTCATTCGCAAAACATGACAATTTTCTCCCTTTTTTGCTCTTTAGATAAATAAGATTTTTTACTATTATCTCACGAGATACAAATTACAAAATTTTTGTACGAAAAGATAAAAAAAAAACTATGATAAATCGACTTTTCATAGTTTTCGATTCACCCGTCGAAATTGAACCGACGGAAAAGAAGCGCAACTGATTTTCTTTTACCTCTTTTAGCGTATCCAACAAAAGTTTCGTAGGCACATTGTCAAAAACACCATCAGTTGCCACGAGAATCACATCGCCGTCCTTGACGCTGAAGCTCAGCGTGTCCGCGGACTCGGGACTGTCGCTCAGGACATTGTCGCCGTGGCCGGGCGGCGGCAGCGACAGCTGGAAGGGTGTGTTGAAGTAGTGCTGCTGCTCCTCAGACCTGTGCACAATCTCACCCTTCCGCACCACAATGAAGCCACTGTCGCCAATGTTGGCCGTGTAAACCGTGCTGTTCTCGCGGTTCAGAATCAGAACGCACGCCGTGCTGCTTCCTGCGCATAAACAGACAGACACAGAGACTTAATAAACCTTATCTTCTTAGTTGGCAAATCACCCACAAAGACACTCACCTAGAATTGGTTTCTTCTGCTCCAACAACTCGCAGTAACTGTACGCTAAGAGACTAACGGGTTTCTGGGGATTAAAGCTGGCACAGGTGACTAGCCGTTCGCAGGTCTTCATGAGGAAAGAAGAGAATTCACCCGGATCGATTCCGTAGCTTCGCCAACCGCCAACGCCGTCAGCGACACCTGAAACATTTCCACCATTTCCCAGCTTAGATTGCAAATAATTTCTAAAATATCACCGTTAATAGAAAACTATGAAAAGTCAATTTATCTTCTTTTAAGCCATTTATCTGTTGTACTAAAAAATGCCAAGATTTTTAGTTTATGAAGCAACAGTAGGAAATTAATTTTACCCAAATGGCTAGAATGTAATAAAAATTTATAGTCTTTTTAATAATACGTTATTTACCATATCTATTAATTTTTTTTCACTTGAAAACATTAAAGAAAAGATTATGTAAAGTATTATAAGTTGATTTTATTACCTTGTTTGGATAAAATCGACTTTGTAAGCTTATATTTTCAATTTTTCTATCAACTTTGTCATATTTCAGTCAAAAATTCTTCAAAAACTTCTTCACTTTTCCAGTATTCAATGGAAATAAATAAATAAATCCTTCACTTTAAGACAAATAAGCATTTCCTGAGATTTCTCATCAATATGAATCATGATTTTATCAGTGATTTTGTCATAAATATCATTTTATGTGGAGAGAAAACACTAAAGAGCTTCAGTAAACTTTCTCTGGTCTGATTTTCTGATCAAAATCTTGAATTTTTCACTCCTGAATCAACTCAAAATCCTTCGCAAGATTCTTATCAATGAACTAAATTTTCATTATCACCCCAAAAAAGACTCCTAAAATAGGCTAAACGAGTGATTTTCTCTTATCACTCAAGAAAATCTGTCGCTTGATCGTTGCAATTGCTAATCACCCTGTTTATTTTCGCTTAAGACGTCAAATCAACTCTCCGTGGGATTTATTGCCGCTCAATTTTTTACTATCCTCGCGAGCTTATCGCATGTCTTGTTTATTTTCCATATACACAAATGATTAGAGCCACTCGCAGACTTTTTCCACCGCATTTTCCACACACACCGATGATTTCTCTCTCTCTCTCTCTCTGGTCAATTGACTGCGCGATTTGTGACAACATCCGATTTAATGTACATCTAATAATTCTCCAACGCAGCAAAACACAGTCTTGATGAATTTGACAATGAAAGCAGAATATAATATCGCGCCTTAATCATCATGTGGCTTTTGAGCGGCTCAAATGGAGGAAAATTCTCCCCAATTATCTCACATTGAAGTCCAATCCAAAAATACTCTGCAAAAACCATTTGACTGCTTGCCAAATGTTCTTCTCTCTCTCCCACTCCTTTTCCCACTTGTCTATTTTTCACGACTCACGCTCATCACGTGACGCCTCGTGACTCCACATCGCGTCTATGCAAATCAATCTCATCATCAAATCCATAAAAAAGTCGTGATTAAATGCATTCACGTGATAAATTTGCTCTTGTTCAACACAAACGCGAATCGCTTGATAAAAAACAACGCTGAAAATGGCTCAAATGTGTGTCGCGTCGCCAAGTTATCCATAGAAATGCGTCTCAGAAAATACCCAAATTCAGATTATGCTCAATTGGTTGACGGACTTTGGAACTCAACGCATTTCTTCTGCCTCTTTTCTCACCCAAAAAATGTGCTAATTCGCTTCTCTTCATCGTGAGTGAAGCGTTTAAAAGGTGTGACAGATTCAAGCGAGAGTCAAAGTGACTCAAAAAAGGTTTCCAGTCACATTTTCCCAATGTTTTCACGGTTTTCTCTCTCCTCAATTGATCAGCCAAAGTCACATGCAATCGCAATTAAGGCACATTTCCTATGCGCCCATTAACTTCACGTGTTTCGCGCACTATTCGTGCTCGCGCGATTGGTTTAATCAGAGATTCCAGAGGGTTGTCTTTGCACACCCCGTGATAATAGAATGAAATTGCATCTGAGAAAGTCAACGAACTCTCGCGCCACAACTTGTATTGATTTATCCTTCTGTGCAATTCCTCAGGAGTCACTCAATGCTTCCTCGCCCTTTTCCTGGACTCTAGAGAATGTGCAGATAATTGAAGTGACTTTCAATTGATGCAATTGCAATCGCACAACGCAATTATTGACCGTAAAACCAAAGAATAAAATCATAGTAAGACTTTTGAACAAAAGTTTTTGGCGAAAAATCAATTTCAGAGTTCAAAAAATTCGATTAGCGTTGGTAAATTTGACTAAAAGTTGCGTTTTTCTTATTTGTATTTCTTAATTTCAGTTTTCATTCGATTTTAGATTTGCAAAAGCGTGAAAAATCCAAGAAATTGATCCCAAAACCAACTTGTGTCTTGGCTAAAAACTCCTTCAAACTGTTGATCATCTGAGAAACGTAAGAAAACTAATCCAATTCTGCTCCGCTTTTGCAGAAACTCCAATAAACCTTCAGTCAAACTGTTGGACTAGTCAAAACTAGTGATTTCAGCGCGACCAGCATGAAAAAAACGCCCGCAAGGTCGTTAAGAAGTTCTCGGAAAAAGAACGGTTTCTTTGTCTTCTTCCTCAGCGATCAAGCACACTTTTGCACAGCTGATGAACCCTTCAATCATCTCTCGGCCGAGATAATCAGCCTTAATGCGAAGATAGCGATTTTTGCTTGTGATCTGGGTGTAAACAAACCAGAGAAGCTTCGCGGATCATTGGCGATCGCTTCCGACTCTCCCGCGGCTGCCCTTCAGCGCCTTCCGTGAAGGACGCGCGCGCGTCCGGAAGGGCTCTGAGGGCGTGCACTCAGACTACACGGACTCACCTATCACGTCGGCGACGCTGGTCCTGGCTGTGAACCAGGAATCCTCGCCGAATTTGCCTAATTTGTATTTGGAGCGCAGGATGTCTTTGGGGAATCCGCACACGACCGACACGAAGTGTGGCTTTGGCTTGTTGTTGGGCTCGATGAGGGTGGAGAAGCCACTCCTCAGCGCGCGGGTCACGAATCTCGTGGTCCAGCACAGTGACTGCATAGTCTTGGGGCGAAGTCACGCGTTTCTCGAAATCGCAGTGCCCCCACAAGATGGAGATGCACTCTCTTCTCTTTCTCACACTTTCGCCCTCACTTTTCACGCCCAAATCGGCGATGCACCGCTCATTTCCCGTGTTGGCACAGCTCAGACGGCTCGCGTTACATCACAGGAACACTTTTCACAGGCGCCTCTGCAGGAAAACGAGAAGAAAAACGCCACGAAAGTCGAAGAAAACACACGGCGCAGATTCAGTTCGAGTCAATCTGATGGATCGGCAGTCGCTTCAGCGCCTCCAGCGGCCAGCACTGCCAACTGTCGCCACTTGATGGGTTTCTCTCGCCCCTCGTGGAAGAAAAATAAGCGTATTTCACACATTTTCACATTTATTTCACCTTCTGCGGTATTTAATCTATGTCCCCAATATTGCTGGGCGATGTCTCAATTCCACACTCATTGGATTCACTGAAAAGAAGGGAAGGGAATCAGTAAAATGCCCACAGAGGTTATGTCACGCGCAGAAACCTGTCAAGGGAGGGCTCGTTGCTGAACATTTCGTGGGGAACTGTCGGCGGAGCCCTTTCCGGGAGCAATTCCATCAGCGAATGCCGCGACTGGAGGTGCCTCTCGATCTCCTCCGCCGTCATGTGTCCATCGGAGGAGAGATTGGGCGTGGAGATGTGCACTTGAGGCTTCTTGGCCACGGGTTTCTTCCTCTTGGGCTGCGCATTGCTGTTCCGGGACTGAATGGAGTTGCTCACGCCGCCCATTCCGTCCATCTTCTTCCTCTTCACCTGATCCGACCGCCCAGTCTCGTCCTCCGACGTCTCCGTCTCGTCACTCTCAGACGACGTGAGTTCAGTCTTTTCGTACTGAAGAAGTTTGTCCAGCAGGAATGATTTGTCTCGTGACGCCTTCAAGAAGCGCCTCTGTGTGATCCGCAGCGAATCCTGCAGGAACTCATTCTCCTGCAAAAACACTCAGTGAGCCTCGAGCAGTGGCACAGCGCGAGCAAAACTTACGTAAATGAGGAATTTGAACTTCTTCTTCAGGATCTGATACTGAGCCTTGAAGTCCACCGCTTGCTGCACGCTCTCCTCGTCGCTGGAGCCCTCCTCGATGTCATTCATCTCGCCCTGCTCCATCGAGGCTTGCTGATTAGCCATCGTGCGACAATACCAACCGTCCAACATGTCTTATTTTTAACCAATTCCTAGTTTTTCACAGAGAAAACAACCAAAACCGAGAATGTAAACAAAAATCTGACAATCAATCATGGCTGACAACCGCAGCCGGCAAAATCCTACCAAAAGGAGAAAAAATGCATTTCTTCAACTCCTGTTCAATTATTTATTACAGAATATCGGGGAAAAACACATGAGAAGTTTGTGGAATAGAATCTACCGCTGACTCGTGTCTCTGGGTCGGTATGTGAGGCCCTTTTGCTTCATCTCCCGAATGATGCCGTTCGGAAGCCTTCCGGCCACAGAAATAGCGTAAATTCCTTTAGTAAATCGATCTGCAAAGGCAAATTAATCAATTTTCATGCCTCGAAGGCCTCAAAAACACTGAAAACAGCGATTCGCTTACTTATTCTCTGCCATTTGCACACCCAGCTGTCTTCCGGACTCGTCACGGCGATCAACCTGAAACCGGATATTTGCCATCACATTTGCGCTCATTAATCAGTCAAAACTGTGATTTACCCATCGAAATTGTTGCTGGTGCAGTCATAGATCATCTCTTTGTTGTTCTTCATCCTCAGGAACTCCTCGCAATTGTCGCATCCATCGTATTCGAATTGGTCAAAAGTCTGCAAGCAATCAGGTCAATTTGCATGCAATAAATGCCTTTATTCTGCAATTATCGCACTTACCTTAACGAGAGAACACACTAAGCACGCCCTCAATCCTCTCAGATCCTTTGGAATCGTGTCAAAAGACATTATTGAAGAGTTTTCAGCTCAAACAGCAAGAAATCCAGAATGTTGTTTACTATTTTCTGGCTGCGTATCTACAACTGTCAAATTGCCGCAACCTATTTTGCTAATCGCGCGCCATCTTTCGACTGGAAACACGAGGATTTTCTTCAATATTTCTTACACATTTATTATTATCTTCTCATATTTGTCTAAAATATATGTTTTAATTACTCTCTCTCTCTCTTTCGCCTCGCAATTAATTTACAGTCTGACAGCACTCTGGCCGTCACACAAACACACATCAATTCTCCTCTGAGTTGGGATTGAAGAACAGCGCGCTGAAGGCGAACAGGAGGAAAACCACGCCGCCGATCAGCGTCACTGTCCTCACGGAGATCCTCTGAGCGATCATGCGCCCACCGATCACGGCCAGACCCGTGCAGATGCAGTGACCCAGGATTCCGCCCACCACAACGCCATAAACATCCTGAAAAGAGAGGCGCGAAAAGAGCGTTGAGATCAGCAAATGTGGGAAATTTTGGGGCGCAATTTTCTCACCTCTCGAGCACCCAGAATGATCGTCGTGAGCTGAGATCTGTCGCCCCACTCGGCCAGGAAGGTCATCGTGAAAGCCTGCATGAAGATCCTGGACACCACGTACGCTATGCTGCGCGCCTTGGTCTTCCTCACGGCGCCCGATTCCGGGTCCTGCGAGATCAGCATTGTGCTGGTCTCCTTCTCAAACTGTCCGGAAGACAAGGCAGAGTGGCGAGTGAGAAAACTTCATTTACAAGAGCTCTCCAGACGGCGGAGGAAATCAAGAGCTCAAGAATAAGATTTGTCGATTGAAATTGACTTCAATTAAATTGAAAAGATCAAAATTATAGCATTTAAAATGCAAATAAATCGCAAATTTGTGCTAAATTCTGATACAATCAATTAAAAAATTAGCTAAAATTCCTTTTAGCTCCAGAATAAATACTTAAAATCTATTTCAACAAGAGAATAAGCAAATAAATTAGCTAAAAATTGCTCTCAATCGAAGTCAACTGAAAGTTAAACCATATTCTTGACTGTGAAATAATCCTCTTCCACCTGAGCACGCGATAAATGACAAAAGCTTCTTATCATAAAACATATTCTAATGAATTTCTCGATCATATATTTTTGGTTAAACACAATTTCAGTGTGATTCTGTGTGCGCAGGCGTGTACTAAAAAGGATAAGAAGAAACACTACTGAATACAAAAAGGTGTCACACAAAGTCTTTGAGGCAGTTTTATATTTCATTTGGATGTCCTTTTGTTCCTGTGTTTGTGTGTGTGTGTGTGTGAAAAGCCAAAAAAGAAGCCAGAGTGTTTTAGCACAGAAAGAGTAGAGACGAAGGAACTCAACACAGAGACCAAAGGAAGAATAAAAAACACTTAAGAAAAAGGATGACGAAAGTGTTGGAAATAAAAAACACGGAAAAGAGACCAAAAAAAGATGGACAAATAAATGAATTTTGCTTCTAGCACTTCTGCAGCGGCAAATCTACCGTCGGTCGTCGTGTTATTTGGGTCCGTGATGATCTCAGTCACTCTACGAGAGATTTATAAGATCAAAATGTCACCTAACCCGTGGACTCGTGGCGGCGCTCTTGGCCTGCGGCGCGCCCTCTGAGTGATTGTTCAACTGGCGCAACTCCACGCCATTCTCCTGGCTGTGAATCGACGGCGCGCCGGCGCTATTCACCGACTGCCGCGAGCCCGAGAGCGTCGTCTGGCCGTCCATGGGGCGCAGCTCGAGATCATCGGGGCCGCTGTGAATTGAGTGGAGCGACACGGCCGGCGATTGTCGCTGCTCCGTGTTCATGGAGCGAATGAGCTGCCGATTAAAGGACACCTTCTTAGCCTCTCTCTCTCAACAGCTCTCAAAAGCATCACTAAAAGAAAATCTAGCGCACTTCTCTCGCGCGCCACTCCGCGCGCGGTTTTGGAAGAGAAAATCATATAATATGTACACAAAACATCCATAAGAAAAACGGAGAAAAAAAGGGGATGAAAAAATAAAGAAATAGAAATTTGTAGGAAGAATTTTTCGTATCACGACGGCGCACATAAAAGATTCACTTCTCTTGTTGACCAATTCGACACACCATCAAAACGCTATTTCGCTTCAACTCGACCTCAACTGCGCGATCCTTCCTTGAATTTCAGCCATTTCAGCGCATCCAATTCAATTTTCAGCTCCACTTTTGCGCCCTCTAGAAATCATGCGAAAAATCAAGGTGGAAAAAATCCGCACCAAACGCAAAACATTCAGTGTTTCTGCCAAAGAAATTAGCGGCGATAAAAGGCTGTTCACACTCTTCGCTCTGATATCAATTTATCACTTAATTGCTCAGCACAATTATTGCCACATTAAACCCGTTTGCATCGCGCTGTTCAGCAAGAGTGTTAATCATTTAATTGGCAATTTGTTAAGAATACTCCTGAGCTTTTTGTGTCGATGACGTCAATCTGTGCGCCTCCTGAAGAGCGACGCAAGGGGGAGATAATACAGTCAGAAGCGATGTACAATTCAATTGAAGTGTTTAAGAAGTGGAAGTGCTTGAATATCATCAATCTAATGGCGTTTAAAAGTCATTTTCAAAAAGGAATTAACGCGATATTTGGAGAAAAAATGGTTCTTTGTATTTTTCTAGGTTATGTCATTGATTGAAGACAAACTTTACGAATAAATAACCTTTTAAATCATTCATTCTTTCACTTAAACAGGGTTTAATTGGCATTTACTGGCGCAATAATAATGAAATCTGATGAAGATCACAAGCTTTCGATTTAAAACTGCAGTTAATTACGCTAAAATTGAACATAACCTCAAAAATATTGTTTCTGAATACAAAATTGCCTATTTTAAGAGCTGTTTGATTGATTTTCTACTTTAAAATAGCAAATTTTCACTCAATATTGATCCAAAAAGGTTTTTTTTACAGATTCTTTTAGACATTTCAAGATAATTTCTAGGTTATGTTCCAAAATGCACCCAAAAGAGCGAATTAAAATTAAATCAGATCAATAAATTAGCTGGAAACTTAAAATCTGTCTAAATTACTGTTTCTCTGCAAGTTTTCAGGGTTTTAATAGTAAAAATTACGTACTTTCTGAGACAAAAAGTCCTAAATTTGAGGTTATGATGCTTTAGGCGATTGGAAAAGTGTCTAAAGTTCCGAAAGAGTTGAAGAAAGTAAGGAAAACCCATGTTTTAAGCACTTCTGATGTTCTGAAAGTGTCTGTGATTCTTCACAGAAATTGTGGAAGTGTCAGGAAGTGATTGTACACTGTTAAGCCATATTATCCTCCCCTTGGAGCGACGTGACGAATGTGAGGCATCATCAGATCAGCAGATAAATCCACTCTCGAGCGCAATCAGTTATTTACAAGATGACATGCCGAAAATAAACCAGGCAAAAGTTGATTTCTTTCATTAATAGATTTCAACGCTCAGGAAGTCAAACATTGAATGAATCTTAGCAAGAAAAAAGTCAATTGTCCACAGCGATAAAAGACAAAAATGTGATAAGAAAAATCCGCGCTTAACACGGAAAACAACGGACTTCTTTTGCAGAAATACGTGACTAAATGTTTAAGGATAAGAGCATGTCTTTTTGCATGGAATCAATTCAATTAAACACCTTGAAATCGATTTATGTCGACAAAACATGGCATCAAAACTGACTTATGATTATTTCAAGTACATTTCTTTGCTTCTTTGCATTGCATAAGCAATAATTCTGACTCATTCTACTGTTTTTTCTGGGTTCTTTTGCCTTTTGTGCAGATAAAAATTAGAGCAGAAAATTATAACAAGAGAATTTTGTATAGAAACATAGACAAAATTAAGCAATAAAGTGGTTTTTATAGTGAAATTAATAAAAATCCCTATTCTTTATAATAATTCTAGTCATTTTCAACTAAATCCCAGTCATTTCATCTCCCATTGACTGAAAAACTGACTAATTTGGGTCATTTTGTGCCTATAATTCCGACATGACGTGTTCAATTCACAAATCTGTCGGCGATTCTCTTTATCGCGACTGACTAATTACTGTCCAAATCGTCGAAACCAGACTGAAAGGAAGCACTAAACACCCAAGCGTGACTCATTCCGTGTCTATCTCTCACTTTGTCACATTTCCAGTGCAAAATAACCAGCAAAAAAAAGTCAAGGAAGCAAAGGGAAATCATAAGAACGGAGATAAAAGTAGGAAAATTAGAAGCGAGCAAAGAAAGTGTGTGAAAATAGCGCAAAAACACGTGCGATTTGCGGTCAGTGACTCCGGAGATATTTCGCATTTTGGGGCTCCCAAAGACATCTCTCGATAGCGCGATCGCGCGGCGCAGTTGAAGTCGGTTGGCGGCGCGCCGGACGGACGCACACACGACTCACTCACCTCGTCCTCGCGCTTCCGCAGATCCGACTGCACCTCCTCGAGCTCCTCCTGCGCGTCCGACGCCGACATGTAGTAGCCGTCCTTGAGCATCTTCAGCCCGAAGATGGCGAAGAGCGCCGTGGAGATGTAGTACGTGTACACGCGCGGGATGATGGTGGCGGCCATGCCGAACACCGCGGACAGGACGGTCATCAGCGCGAGCGCCGAGATCGCGCCGGCGAATACTGTGAGGCGGGGATGCCGCATCGCCATGATGGCGGCGATGAAGAAGGTCTTGTCTCCGAGCTCGGACACGAGTATCACAGATATTGAGGCCAGGAACGCGTGCCAGAAGCCCAGCTCCGCCGGGAGCGTCGAGCTGCTGCCGTCGGGCGCCGTGCCATCCGGACTGGGGAAGTTCTGGAACGAGAATCCACGATCAGATGAACTCTGCACAAATCCATCGAGAGCATCGAGTGTCGCCAATCGTCAACCCTTCCACGACCATTTCCGTGCTACGTCAGAGCATTTTTACGATTTTTACTGCACGCGCTTTGCGACATTTTATTGCAGCCCAAAATAGCAGCAAAACGAGGAAATAATAGATAACAATGAGAAGGTTTTGCCACATTTGGTGAATTTTGAATGCTTCATGATTCAAGAAACGTCAATCAAGTGTCAAAATTCAACACCAGACAGTGCTTTGTGGCCATCGTGGCCAAATTTGAGCTTTTAATTGACACGAACAGTGGAAAATGTCGATTCAGTTTACCAAAAACTCCCGATTGACCCGATTTTTGACACATGACAGCTGATGACGTCACAAACATGCACAAAATCACTTGTTTAGAAATTTTTGGTCAAACTGACCAACTTGTTTGAAGAGAAAGTAAAGCAAAAGCTTCCCACCTGTTGAAAAGTTTAATGATTTGGAAAAATTAAGAAAAAGAAAGTCTTAAAGCGCTCAAAATGGGGTGAAAGTGGTCAAATTAAGAGCTTAAAAGTTGGGTTATTTTTTGTTTTCTGTTGTTTTGTTTTTGTGGTGGTTGGTTTTTTGGGTTTTTTGTTTTTTGGGGTTGGGTGGTGGGTGTTGGGTTTGGTTGGGGGTTAGCTTATGTTTGCTATGTTAATAAGTGATTCTACGACAGATTTCTGCTGATTTGTGGGAAGAAAATGACTGGAAAGCCAGGAAAATGTTTCCAGAGTGTTTTGCACAACCAAAATGAGACTTGAATAGCTCAGAAGCGTGCCGACGTGAAAGGGTTAAGCGCGCTCGGAGCACTCAAAGCTGCGCTGAGAAACCTCCGGAGGCGGAGAAACTGGGGCGCTCTCCGGCAAGGCCAGCGCATGGGAATGAGATCTCCAGATTGGCCACACTCGATAACCCTCGGCGGTGCTTTTTCCGCCGGCTTTACCACATTCGCTGACTCAGTGACTTCGTCGTGCGGCTCGATGTCGCCAAGGACGAGTCCGGCGGCGAGACTGAGCGCCGTGAAGACCACGTAGAAGTGCCACCGCGGCACGCTCCCGCGGCAGGGCATTACGTAAATCGGGTCACTATCCAGCGACTGCTGAGCGGAGGTGGAAAACTCGACCTAGAAACCAAAATCTCGGGGAGATTTTGGCTGACGCGACGAAAGGTTACTTTGATGGGAATTTGAGATGAAATTTCCGCATTATTTGCGCACTTTTTGCGATATTCAGCACACAATACACTCGGCGGAATCTCAAAAAACACCGTGCAAATATCAACAAGCACTGATTACACCTCTATTGCACATTTTCGACTGATAAGAGACACGGAGAAGAGCGATGCTGGAAATCTAGCACACAAAAGTTTTTACAATGTGACTTTGACACTTTGATGGCATGAAAAATCTGTTTTACACTGCAAAATTTCAATGCGGAGGCAAAATAGCGCAATTTGCAGCACTTTAAGGGCTTTAAGTGACATTTATTCAAAGATCTCAGTGAAAATTGACTTAAATACCATTCACAGGATGTAAAAACACTCAATTACTCATTGTAATAAAATTATGGTGCTCAATATTGTTGAGAAATTGAGATTCTGCAATCATTTTTCCCAGTGTTTGTGTTTACACGTCACTCAACACACGCTCAGCACTAACGTCATCTATCGATTGAGGAAGAAAACTCGCTTATCTGCGCCCGAATGAATGAAATTGAGAACACTTTGCGCAAAAATGCTCAGACTCTCGTTAACCCATCAATTGCACGAATAAATCACGCTCAAATTCACTTTTTACATTCCTCGGACACTTTTGCGTCTCTCCATTTGGCTTGAGAGCCTGGAAACGACTGAGTTTTATTATCAACACTGACGCAGGAAAAGCAATACGAGCGGAATAAAAGCGCGCTGTTATCAGGTGAAAACCAAAAGAGAACTTTTAACAAGCACCAAGGGGAAGATAATATGCCTTACATCTGTACATCACTTCAAAACACTTCCAAATTTGCCTGGCACTTCTAGAACATGAAGTTTTTAGACTGTTTCCTAATAATTTCCCAAATTATAAGGAATTTCATAAGCTTTCATCCGATATTTCTGCAAGAATCCATTTAAAAACGCTCTTTCGGACATGTTTTCCGAACATAACCTGAAAATATAACCAAGAGATCTTCAAAAACTCCGTTTGGGGGCCTAAAAGATCACAAAATCATGGAGAAATATTTCTAAAAGAACATTTTCCAAGTCCAAATGACTATTTTTGAGGTTATGTTTGAGTTCCTGACAATTTAAAGTGTTTCGTGCCATGCAAATGCTTAATTCTGTCAATGACCAACGATCTCATGGACTTGAGCATAAGAATTTATGTGTTAGAATGCGAATTATTCACTAAGTCTCTCTGTGATTCGTTACATAACCTAGAAAAAAGATTATTTCGTTTGTTTCTGCATGAAAATCGAAGGGAAATTAAAAGAATCTGCATGATTTATCAGTAAAAGCAGGATTCAGGAAAGGAATATTGTAAGTTTTTGAACACTTCCGCTTCTCAAGTACTTCTGACTGTACTATCTCCCCCTTGACAAGCACTTAATTGCTCACTGAACGTCTCGCGGTGCAAAAAGAGGTGTTTTTAGTGGCAAGATTGAGAGTTATTAGATTAGAACTCTGCGACGAGATTCATGCTGAAGCGATAATGTTGAAACAACGGGCGTTTTTTTTACATGTAATTTTATTATAGTAAGATGGGCTTACATTAAAATTTTGTAATTCTTTCCTTCATCACCTAAGTAATTTTAATTTACTTTAGATAAAATATTTCAACTGCATGATTAAAATAATAGTGTCAATTAAATCATTCCATTTTTTCATTGTGTGTTCTTCATCATTTTTATCTCCCGCATTAATATTTAATTAACAAAATAATAGATGCAATGTTATCCCCTATTTTTTCTATCTCTTATTACCAATACATGTTTTTTGTTTAATAATCCTTCAATTTAATATCTTTCTCTGCTTGTTTATGTTTAAAACTTATTATGTGTTTGGAGTCATGAAATAAGGATTGTTTTTATGCTTGTCTCCATATTCATTTAATCAATACAATTATCTTTTAGAACTTACAAGATAAAAATTGTGAATCTCATATTAAATGTGAAATTCTTGACATTTAGTGATTTGAATTGACAAATTTACATTCTTTCTTTAGATTGTTTTCTTGAGGGATAGATTTAGGACTTCTCACCTGTATTTTTTCAAGTGTGAATTGAAACGATATGAAAATGGGATTAAATTTGAGAAGTTTCTTTTGTTAGAATTTTATGCAATGCCTTTGAAAAGTCTTGTATAAATTTGATACCTCCCAATATTTCTACCGCGCTTTGTTAGTTGGTGTTTTTTTTGTATTTTCAATATGAAAGAAATATTTTGCTATACGAACGTCTGACCGTCTTCTAAATATGTAGGTAGAATATTGTAAATTTACGTTAAATGTAATTTTTTTTTCTTACTGATCCTGAGATGATTTATCAATATGTTTTCTCTTTCCTTCCATTTTTTTTTTTCATCTAATCCTCGTGATATCGCGACGAATGTGTCATTGATTAAGGACTATGACATTAGTAAAATGTTGTACTGTCTCAAAGGCAACTGGTTGCATTTGAACTTGTTCTGAATTTGTTTATGGCTTGAAATGCACGTTCGCAACTTTTGGCAGATGATTTCTCTCCGCTTAAATGCTCCTATTTTAGCTAATTCTATTTGTTTTTTTCTTTTGAAATAGAAAAAGAACTTTTTCTTCTTCCTCTCTCTCTCCCTCTCACTTCTTTTGTAACTTTCAGTTTTGTAGGCCAAGTGAATTATCAGATTTTATTCTTTTTAAATATTCTCATTACCATTTTTTTTCCTTCCTTTTCGAAAAATTGTCGCCCAACGGATTTTCTTCTCTTCAAATGTGCCTTAAAGAATTCAATGTTTGTTGAGAAAAACAAAGACTAAAAAAAGAACTATTCCATCTTCTTAATAAAAAAAAGAATTTGTGTAAATTACACACAAGAAAAAAACTATCAAATAAAAATAAATGACAAAACGTAATAATTAACTGTGATTTTAAAGTGTGCAAAAGTAATATTTTTCCGACAGGGAATTTTTTTTTTCATTTAAATATATTGCAAGCATATTTAATTGTAAAGGAAAATACCAACATATTTACACTATAATTCAGCGTCAAAAAACCCGGAATGTTTTGCACAAAAGTGTGATAATTTCATCACAATTTTGATTGAGAATAAAACAATGCGTGCTTCTCATGATGAGAATTTCCCGGGTTTTTGAGCGCCAATTTAGCTGGAATGATAGTGAATAAATGGAGTTGTTTAATCCACGTAAATTCATTATGCTTCTCTGCAATTATTATGTAATTGTTTTACGGTATTGACGATCACCACTGTACAAAATTGTACAATCCAATGCATAATCACTAACACTTCCATTTATCAATATGATTTAACTAAAAAAACTCTCCACAGTTAACCAATAATATATGTAAAACTTTAAATTATAGCTTAAATAAATTGTTGAAAAAAAATAGTGCTAAATGCGCGGCACAATAAAATGCTCTCCATCGACTTTGCATTGTTATTATTTACTTGGCTCAGCGTCCCACATTTCCAGATTAGCTTTACAGACTTTCGACTCATCTTTCATCATTTATCTATGATTCACTTTACACTGTGTCAGCTCGAGTAAAATTGCACGATGTGGCGCACTTGAAGTGCGACCGGATTGTATATTAGAACTGAAATTACTTGTTCGTGTTTTCCTTCACGATTTTTCCCCACTTTCTCTCTCTCTTTTCTTTCCTTCATTCTCTGAATGGACAACAATTTACATTACAATATTTCCTTGTCTCCTTACGTTAAGAATGCAATTGATATACTTGACGCATATCATTGAATGTCCTTCTCCAATATCAATTTCCGCCTCCTCAACAACTTCCTTTACTTAAATATATTGTGTACCTTAGTCAAAATTACTGTTATTAATTGATTAAACAGAGCCACATAAACTGATAGAAACTCCGTTCTCTTGTAATTTTCATTTATGTAATGTTATAATATTATAATATTTTATATCATTATATTTATATAATATGCTACATTTATAAATTCGGACTTTTTTATATTTTAAATATATAATTTTTATTTTTTTTCTCTTTTTTATTTTCAATATATTTCAAGTGACATGTAAATGTTTGAATCTGATTAATAATTTCACTTCCATTCCTTCTTTATCAATTAATTTTTCACCTCTTCTTCTCCTTCTTGAGTTTTTGTAATTCCATCAATAATTATTTTGTTTACGCGTAAATCTAATTACTTTTTTTTAAAATATAATACTGAAATTTATTTTTGTCGTCTCATTGTTTTTTTTTCTTTTCTTTTACCTTCACTTCGTCGTCAACATAATGGAAAAATATTGAGCCAGGATATGTTAGTTTATAATAAGTAGAAATTGTAAATCGTCAAATTTATACAATTGGCACACATAGCGACAGTTGATGTTGTATCATTATTTGTGTGTTTGTGTTTGTTTATTTTTGTGAATTATAATTTTTTTTTTTTAATCTCTTCACTGATGCGCAATATCAAGTGGAAAAAAAATGAGCAAAACTAGAGAAAAAAAAAATCTCTCAGAAGTTTGTCAATTTGACCATAAATATTAATTATGTAAATTTTCATTCACGTTTTTTTCTTCACGTTTGTTTTACTTTTTCTTTTTAATTCTTTGGTAGCCGAAATCACTAACAAAATTTTATCCAATTCAATAATTTAATAATGGTCTAATCAGTTCTTTAAATCAATAACATTAAAATTAATTCAATCACAGATTTTCATTTTTTTCTCATTGAATTTTGTTATCATACAATTGTAGGTTAATATATATTTTTTTCCTTAGTTTTTTTTTTGATAAACATTTCCAAATATAAAAAATTTTGAATATACAATAGCTTTCGTAAAAATAAAATTATATCATAGAATAATTTTTTTTTTTAGTGAAACACAAAAATTAAAATTGATATGTTACTTTTTTTCCGTGAGCCGAATTTCCTTTTATTTCTTTTTTTTGAACTTTCATTTCTCTCAAAAATTCCTTTGACTTTTCCTGTCAAAATCAAGTGTGATTGTTGTATTTTTTTTTCTGCAGTGGAATTTTGCAAAATTAACTAAATTTCCCCAGTTCTTCTGGTGCAGCAAGATTGAATATATATATAATTGTGTGCTGTCAAATAAATGTCGGCGCGACATGTGTTAAGGATAACACACGGTGAAAATTCCACGCCATCGAGATGTGTGTTGAAAGAAGAGTTTGTAGACTTGAAGAATTATAACGTCATTATTTGTCGCAATATGGCTTCATTTTGAGTTAAGAAGATTTCTATGTATGTAAATACATATATATGAATATTTAAAGTTATGTATCATTCCTCTCTCTCTCTCTCTGAATTCTCCGAATGAGTAGAACTAGCTATAAATTTTGGCACATAACATATAGCTTAAAATGATGTGTGTACCCTGAATTTGTAAAGAGTGAGTTTTCTTAGTAATGTTTTTTTACTTTAAAAAGTACTTTTACATTCTTACAAATATATTAAAATATTTCCTTTTCTCAATAATATGAATATTTTTTTTCTTTATTTTTTTTCTCCATGATTTTTGAAATGTAATAAGATTTTTTTCCTTTCCTTTCCTTTTGAGAAATACTATAAGTTTTATCCAATATTTTTACCAATATTCAATATATAGTTCCACAATTTGTTTGGTTTTTTTTTTTCATTTGTGTCAGAAGAATTTGTTTCCTTTTTGTTTCACACTTTCACTGGAAAAGACTTGGTCAAAAATGTTTCCTTTTTTGTTTAAATTCTCTACTTTTTCTTTTTTGTTCATATCAAATTTTCCATCGTGTTTTCTCTTCTTGTTTTCTACCTTTTAATTCCACCCAATTCAGTTTTATCAATGAATACATAACTCTATTCACAAATATGGGGATCATTTCCTCATCTAATGCAATCCTCCACACCCACTTTACATATTCTGCATCTACATCCCTTTTGAAAATATATCATAAACACTGACTATTTATAATCAGAGAAGCATTCCTACATCACAGATTGAGAAGAATAAATTTTTTAGTCATTCCCGTTTTGTCAAACTAATAAAATTTATCTCGATTTGCTTTCCGATCATCTGTTTCTGTGTCTCTTAATCTTCCTTATGTTTTCTCTCTCTCTCTCTCAGTAAAACCGTTAAGATAAAATAATTTATAGCTAGGAATATACAGGAGTACATACATATGTATTTCTTTATGATATTATCTGTAATGTGAGCTTAATATGTAAGTAATGTTTAATGTAAGTTTCTTACATTGGGTGAATGAATATACATTTTGTAAATATTACAAAGTGAACTTCGATGAATCTCTCTATCCCTTTCTTCCTTCCTTCCTTTCTTTATCTCCTTTTTTGTTCCTTTGAAAATCATTTTTCAACAGCTTTTCGCCTCTAATTCCTCAACTCAAGTGATTTCATCTGTCTCACGATATTTCTCACTCACTTTGTGTTCTCCTTCTCATGCTCTTTGATGGTGGATTCCGCGCTTAATCAGGTGGAAAATGAAAGACTTTATGGCACCACAGGTCAAGATATGAAGAAATTGATAAGTATAAACGACTGCTTGAAAAATAATCTATCGCCACCACAAATCATTTCTCTCCCTCCAAAGCTCTCTCTCTCTCTCTCTCTGTAGAATTCAAGTAACTCCTCGCAAACTGAACACTTTGCTAGAAAAACACACAAAATTAGTAATATTGTAAATTCTCCTGAGCGCCCGAGTGGGCAAATTTTTCTTCCTTTTTAATTAGATTTCATCAAGATATGTTGACACAAAAATACGTTTCTTCCTTTTTTTCCTCCCCGCATTTAATCTACTAAGACTTTCTCTTGATATTCATTTTACTTCAAAATATGTTATGCAATGATATATGTATATAAGTATACTTTAATTCGAATTTTTCCCTCCACTTTTACAGTTAAAAATGTTTTTATCCTTTTTTTTGTACTTGAGCGGTGAATCACTGAGTAAATTGTTAGATTTTCTTTTTCTTTTTAACCTTAAACTTGTCATCAAATTTTTTAGGTGAACTCGAAGGGTGTTTTTCAGAAGTATTTTTATTCCCACTTCTTTTTTTCTTACACTTTGAAACCGTTCTGCAAATTGATTCGGTTTTTGTGGCATTTGCAGTTTTTCTTTCTTAAACTCTATCTTGGCTAGAGAAACCGTGATTGGGTTTTTGTGATAGTTGTTCATTTTTTTGGCAGTTGATCTGTGTCGAAAGAAATCTCCTTTAGGGAAAAAATACTCCGAGATATTTCATTGGCCGAATTAGTATGACAAGAAAATACAAATTTTTTGACACTTTTGACAGGTTAATTGACAGGAAATATCTCGTGTGTATTTTGGAAAATTGTCCGTTAAAGATTCCATTCAGTGTTCAATGAACCCCAGGTTCTCCCATAGAGTGATCAATTTGAAATATTTACACATATTCCGGGGTGGATAATATTCCAACCCCATTTTTTTTTAAGTATTGTGTGGGCATTTAGCGTGACAATCCACAGTGTTGTCACAATTTCAAGACAGTGAACTTCTACAATTAATCCTTACAATTAAGCTAGATTAACCTAATCTCTCTGTGTGTGTTTAATTTCATAACTTGTTGGTCAATTTGTGTCCCGGCTCCGCGGCGATCCTCTGTGATCCCGCGGAGCGCTCTTGTCCAAGTGTGTGTGTGTGTGTTTTGGCATGGCGCGTCCTGCGCGGCGCGCGCGCGCGCGATTCAACTGTGAGCGGTGTAAATATCACGCTGGTGCTGGTTGAGTGTGGCGAAGAGCATCGTGGTGAACGATGACTGCAGGTCGATCTATTGGATGCCCGGCGGCGGCTGGCCCAGCTCCGCTGCGAAATCAAAGAGGTGCGGCCGCGGATGGGGCGCACCGTGGTGCGGCCCCAGGACATTCTTGATCGCGGACGTCTTCAGCAGGCGCTTCAGCATGCCGCTGGAGCCGCGGTGCTGCAGGCTCTTGTGCGTGGTGAGCGAGTTCTTGGTTCGGTACCGCCGATGGCAGAACTCGCACACGTACAGCGTGTCCGACTGCTCGTGCTTGTCCTGAAAGTGTCGCTTGAGCGAATAGTAGCAGGAGAATGTGCGGTGGCAATAGGGGCACTCCTGCGGTTCATTGATCCCCCCACTCGTGGGTGGTGGCATTCGCAATTGCGTGCCCGACGGTGATGTTGTCGATGATGATGCCGACGTACCAACAGATACAACAGCACTTTGGGGGCCTGCTGGGCAAATAACACAAAGAGAAAATTCTATATTCTTTTACACGCTCAACGCTTGCAATGCTTTTTCTTGTTTTTTTTTTTTCATAGAGCTTTGAAAGTTCTCATTTCTTTTTTTTTCAGATACTTCGAGAAAAAGTCTCTCTGTCAATCTCCTACGTTAAAAAGACAAAAAAAAATATGAAAAATATATCGAGAAAGAGAGCTGAAGAGAACTCTTGCACTACGCATACTTGTTGATATAAAAAGGGTAAATAAATTACATTATATGTAAATTTTGAAAAATAGGCCATTAAGATGAGAATTGACTTTATTTTCGACTTATCGATGCAGCAAGAGCAGAGATCATACTTATTGAAAGTAGGTCTGAGTGGAAATGTTGCAATTAATGTTAATCACAGAAGATTAATATAATTTCCTCATGAAGTACAAAGATTCACATGCAATTCCTATTGATTCATAGTCATTTCCGCGAATTTCTATGTCTTCACGGGGCATCAGAAGATGATCAGAAACAAATTAGATTTTTTCATCTATCTTGCAAAATACACTTCAAATCTTATCTTTGTGTTTTCTTAAGCGATGCCCAGTGAAGATGTTTGGGAAAAATAAGTCAAGAATAAAGCCAATTGAGTGTGATTTCATGCAACATAAGTTACAACAGAGAAAGCCAGTGTGACACAGTGATTTTCGAACCAAATTTTGACAAGTGTTTCCATAAGAAATAGAAAAGTTATACCTACCTATCGTTCTTTGGTAATACAATGAGAAAAACAACAGACAGAACATGCAGAATTTACCAACAAAAAAAAATATAGGGGAAAACCAAAATGATCAAAGCGAAGGAAACATTGAAAATTTCAATACTCGAGCGCACAAGATTATTTTTTTTTGGCACATAACACAGAAGAGCGAGAAGGAAAAACTGCTTTTTTCCGTGGCTTTTTTGTCGATGAATCATTTTTTGAGATCACATACAAATAATTATTACATTGAAAAATATTAGCACAATATTTGGTTATAAAACAGCAGACAAAGCACAAAAAAAACACATTAAAATATAGAGAAGAAAGTTTTCTTTTTTGAATCTTTGAATTTCAAAATTTCTACACTTGCAGCAGAAGAATTTGTAAAAGTTTGCAAAAAAAATTGCGTCGTTCTCTTACAAAAATTCTTCTTTTTCCACCTCTTAAGAGGAAATGTTAGAAATTTGAAATTTTTAGATTAATACAAAATTTCGCGAATTTCTCTTTTAATCTTATCGATTTTTCTTTTCTTTTCTTCTCTTGCAATTGATAAAGAAAATAACCCAAAAAATTCGGGGCACATATAAAGATTAAACGAAATGAAAGGAGAAACGTGTGGAAAATAAAATAATTAAACGTCAATTCTTGAGAAATTTTGTAATTATTGTTTTTCGAGTAATCATAAACTGAGAGTCACCAAAAGATGCACGCAAATATTAACCTTGTGTATTAATATAATTCTAATAGTAGATAAATAACATACTTTGGTGTATAAATATCATATGTATTAATAATTCCAGTAACTTTATCTCCAGAGTAACAGGCTCGTAATAGTATAGTTTGATGATTATCACGATTTGTAAAAATCGATAGAAGCTTCAACTGTGTCGATGATAGGCAGTAATAAGAGACAGTAGAGTAGATTTTTTAATTATTGTACACTATATAGAGAATTATTTGTATATTTTCTCCAATATCACTCTCATAAATATAATAATAATAGTTGATTTTGGGTGAAAACGAAAAAAGAGATTCCATTTCTAACTATTATTCAATTATATAGTAAAATAGAGATAACTACAGCAGAATATACAATTGTAATAATAGTAAATAGTAGGCAATAGTAATAGCAGCAGCAGAGAACGTTTTAAGTAGAACTGCATTCCGATTAAGTGTTGCAATTAATTCTTTAATATAATGAGGTAAGGTGGCAATATATATTGAAATGTATCGAAAACTATAGATAAATATATCTCAATGAAGGTGGATAGTGAGGTACAGCATATAGTAAAGTAGATTTGTACTGTGGAAAAGATTGCGGTTCTCATTTACTCAATTTGCTCAATTATTACGATATAAGAAAAGGAAGAAGAAGAAGGGTACTGAGTTCAAAAAACTGTGTGTCTTTAAGTTTTAGCTTCTTGACTGTCTGTTTTTTTTTTTTAATTTGTTAAGATAAATTGGAATTGGAAGCTAACCTTGGCGAACATGGTATAGTGGACACCAAAATTGGAGAAGACTTCTGGCGAAATTAGTGTGGTGACTCTGTGGGGTCATCCCACAACTAAGATCGTAAGTTGACATATGCGATGGAGTTGGTGGTTCGTCAAAATCGGACATTGTTGCTAAAAAGTGTAATGTCGTATCTGGTTCGTAGAGAATTGACAGGGATTTACTCGGTGAAGAGACTGATGACATGGATGAAGATGTTGATGGCGATGGCGGTGGCGAAAACGACCCCTAAAAGAACTTTATGTCCTTAATGTCCAGTTCGCCAGGCCTTGATTTGTGATATGTGTAGATGTGTGTCATCAGCGAATTCCGCGAACAATACACACGCTCACATATTGAGCAACGATATTCCTCCTGGCGTTCCGCGTGCTTGTCGGCAATGTGCCGCTTAAGAGATGCCTTTGAGCACAGCACTTTGCCACAGAGTTGACATGAAAACAGTTTCTTGGGTGAACAGCCTGGAATACAAGAGATACCAGATCCAATACACCGACACACTAAATGCTTTTCTTTCTTTCTTCACCAAAATCTCTCTCATTTATGCTTCAGATTCTATTTTTCTTATGCTCTCTTCTTTTTTTTTTTTTTGCTAGAGTCTTACCATTTCTTTTCGTCTCTTTTACTATAAAAGTCATAATTCTCTATCACTATTTTGCCATTAATACTCCATCGGCAGCGCTCCTCGGTGGCCAAGGATGCGCAGCTGAGTAGTACTTTTACAAAATAACATAATCTTAAATAGAGAGAGAGAGAGAGAGAGAAAGTGAGAGGACAGAGTGAGACAGATTGACAGCATGTCAGTGAAAAATTAAGTATAGATGAATTAGGATCATCGGTATTAATTCGAAATCATCGGTACTTCTTACGAACTACGGTAAAAAAATTGTCCTAAGAGTTTTGGATCGTAGTGTGCATCTATTGGTTGCGCAGATTAAACTAAAAGGATATACAGTGTTTTGTCATGTTTACATCGAAATCTGTGTGTGTCCATTTGTCATCCTTACAGAGTAGTCTTATCCGTAAAAGTGTACGCTTAGCCTAGCCTAGCCTAACCTCCAGACAGGCCCCAACAATTGTATGCCGTGCATTTTGTAATCCTTAATCCGCGATCTTAACGCTCAAATACCACGAAATTCCACACATTTTTGGCAAATTCTTGTCCAGGACAAAAAAGTAAAGGGAGAAAACCCATCGGCACAGACAGTAAAAAAGAAAATTGAAGGAAAACTCGCCATTGAAATATATGCAAAAATAATATATTTGATAGAATTGTGTATATATATGTTACTTTTGTCATATATATTATAAATAAGATTATAGTAAAATCAACGTATACAACATTTACAGAATAACTAATAATAGGAGCAATCATTAATGTACGATGAATAATAGAAAAAAATAACCACTTTCTTTCGAAGAAGGATACTATTTCTTTATTGTTTTTTTCTCTTTTTTTCTTGCAATTGTAGGTATTTTTTTTATGATTCACTTGTTTTAACGTTTAATCGTATTTCTTCTGCATGTTTTCTCATCAATATTTTTTTATTACAACTTTACACAACATTAAACTCATGCTGATATTATATTCATTTAATCTTAGTATCTGTATTTAATCCTTGTTTTTTTCTCTCTCGTTTTTTTGTTCACTAAGTTTATTAGTCAAAAAAACAGAGTGACACTGAACAATGGTTTTGGGTTGAACCAATGAAGTGAAATCATTTTGTCTAATGATAAGAGAAAAAGGAAACAACTAAAATGTCCTATGCTATTGGCGAAGAGAAATTGAAAAAAAAGATTATATGTTAATTGTGTCTTCGAAAAAAATTTAGGAATATAATATGTTTTTATATTTTCTGCTTTTTTTTATCTCACTACACAAACTACATTTCATCTGTAATATACTTTTTTTCCTCCTCCATTTTTTTCCGTGTAAAAAAAAGACGCGAAATATAATCAAAAAACAATAATTTAAAAATGTCAATACCAAGCCAATTATGTCTCCATTGTAAATATATAGATTTTTTTCACTTGTTAATAAAATTGTTGCTTGTATATATAATTTGGTATCAAATAAATTTCAGACTTTTGAGGCCAATTGTTACAATTTCGATTATTTTTTTTTTCATATACGTCAACGAATTTCCATTTCGTCAATTCTTGTCTCATTTTTTTCTTTTTTTTAAATTTAATTAATTAAATTTTTAAGTCATCAGTCTTCGACGATCACAAATTGTTAATGAAAAAAATAATAATAAATTTTTCAGTAAATTTTTTAAGTTGCTCATCACATTTTTTCAATATATCTTCTCTCTTTTTTTTTCCTCCTCCTAATTTTGACAAATTGCATTTCTTTTTTTCATCATATCCATAACGAAAACTAAGAATAATTACCGACAACTTAATCACAATTATTACAGTTATTACTTAACTATCATTAATGTAAATTTGCTTTCTTCCGCTGTTTCTTGTTTTTATCCTTTTTACAACGTTTTTTTTTTTGTTATCTAAGAATGTAAAATAAGAAATATCAGTCCATTACGAATGATTACATTTCTTCACTTTTTTCCTTTTTTCAAAGTTTCTTTTTCTCAATGCACGAAATGGAAAAATACATGTAAATTTAGATCTCCAAAAAAATCCATGAAGATCGATATTTTTTTTTTCATTTTCATCTTCTTCTTCTTGAAACTATAAAGAAAGAGAGTTTCAATTTTGGGAAATGCTTCTCTTTGAGAAACATCAGAATCACACCATTAAAAAAGAAGCACTTTTTGCGACTTGGTCGTTAATTTTTAGCTTTTCTTTTCTCTTGTTTAAATAAAAAAATAATAAAACTTTTAAGAGTTGGGCATGGACGAAATTTTCAGATTTTCTTATCAATTCTTTACCATAAATAAAATAAATTAAAAAAAATTTCTCCTTTTCTTTCTTTCTTTTTTTGTAAAAATATAAATCTACTTTCCAAAATGCTTTTCTGGTAATAAAAAAAAAAACACGAATAAGCTCGTAAATATTAGTTTGTTTTAAAAACAGAAAAAATTGTTAACAATACCCTAGCACCGCCTATAATCATGTGTTTTTTTTTTGTTGTCTTAAACAATTAAGAAGGGTATGTTTTCACTTTTCTCTAAGTTTCTTTTATGCTTAAGTTGTATATGTCTAACATTAGTTTCCTTCTTTATACAAGTATTGTTACAATTCATCTATTAGCTAGTATTTTCTTTTTAATCATTAATTCTTCATCATTTTTCATAAATAATTTGAAAAAAAAAATATAATAATAGTTTAAATTAGAAAATTTCCTTTGAGGATCTAAAAAAAATTTGTTGAAATGATTGCGCAATGCCACGAAGAGTACACAATAAATTCGTATAAATCAAGAACGAACTCTGTCTAACACACAGACTAGGGAAGTCTTGGTTCTTCCGCCTAAGATTTCCGCGAGAAAGTAGTAAGTGCGGGGCGCAGAGGGAAAGGAGGAACAGGACGCTTCATTTACAGATACTCAATGCAGGACTTGACTTGCAGCGAGGGCGGCGCCATGGATCCGGCGCCGGAAAGGGTTGACGGATGCTGCGGATTGGGCTGTTGCTGCGCCGCGGACTGACTCGAGTGGTGGTGCTGGTGCTTCTGGCGCCGATGGTAAATACTTTTGTGATTGTTCAGGCTGTTGAGCGTCCGGAACACCTTGTGACAGAGATTGCACACAGCGTTGTTGAGCGGCTGCAGGTGCTGCTGCTCCTTGTGACGCTTCAATGTCAACTTGGTGCTCAACAGCTTGCCACAGACATCGCACCGATGGCACGCTGTCAGCGGTAGTGGCAAGGGTAGTCGCCCACCACTCCCCATCACCGATGCTTGAGCCACCCCGACGCCGCCGCCACTACAGTTGCCGCCACCTTTAGCATCACCGGGAAAAAAAGAAAGAGACAGTAGTGACTATTTTTGACTTTTTCAAGACTTTTCTGCTTTTTCTCTCAATTTTCTTTTTTCTTTTTCAATCTGATTTGGCCGCAAAACTTTTTACTCAGGCTTCGATTTCTATTTTTTTGCAAATTTTTTCGAACGGAAATGAATGCGTCTGAACTGAAATCAACGTAAAAATTTCTCTAATTTTGAGTAAATAATGGATAAAAAAAGAAACAATTTCTCGATCAAGGGTGTTTTTGCCTTTTTCGCTCAAAAATTTTTAATTGTGAAAAAAATAAAAAAGCAGGACGATTTTGTTATGTGATCAGTTAAACACACACACTTGAAAAATACTTGTTTTTTTTTCTTCTTCTTTTCAACATTTACTATTTTCTGTCAATCTCTGGACGTAAAAGAGAAAACAAGTGTCATTATGACTTTTACATTTGATTGATTGTGCGATCATCCCCAGGTAATTCAATGATCTCCGCATATTTAGGCATTTTTTTCTTGTTTTTCTCAATTTTTGAGATTTCACAATTCTGTACTTTACAAACAAATCCAACGGGTTCACCAATTGGAACCAATTGGGTGGACTTTGAAAATTTCAATGTTGATCAATTTATCAAAAAACACATGAAATCATTTGCATATCAAATTTGTGTTTTTTTTTTTGAGAAGAAAATTTAATTTTTCAAAATTTTTTTTTCAAATAAATCAAAATTCCGCCTGGGGGATTTGCAAAAAGAGAAACTAAACAAAATCGAAAATAAAAAGTTCTATGGCCTGATTTTGTTGTTTTGTATTTCATTTTTTTTTTCTTTTTACCAAAATAATGAAAAAAGATCTTTTTTAAACTTTTTTTTTTTTTGATAAATCACAGTGTCACTAATGTCTCAATCTTTAATTTTGTTCCCAATAGCGTGGCTTCCCCGTTGTATTTTCACATTATATGTTTTCATCAAAACATGTCCATCCAAAGAAGTGTTGCGTCGACAGTTGGATGGGATGTTTTGGTGTTTTTTTTCTTTTCTTTTTTTTTCTTAGCTTTCAGGTATTCAAGTCAAGTAAAAGGTAGATAAATTGTATGGCAACTTAGGATAAAAATATGCCAATTGGTTACATTTAACGAACCGGTCGGATTTATTGTGTACTCATCGTCCTCATTCAAAAACCGTCTTAAAATCTAAGGAAAAATAAACACTTTATAACAAAAAAAAAATATTACATTTTACATGTACAAAAAGTATGTCAAACAAATATATTATCGTCTCTATTTAAATGCTACAAAATTTGCAAAGGAAATATTTGCTTAATGTTAAAATTAGATCATAAAGTTGTTAGTTTGGGATTTAAGACACGAGAGAAAATTATTGTGATATGCAATATTATCGCAGGAAGGGCGGCAGTTTTCTTCAGGAAAGGTTAAACAGTGGTAAAAATTGCAAAACATCATCGTCAATTGCTCTTCACAATACCTTTTCTCAAATGTCCCGAGTCTTACATCTAAGTGTTTTATGTAAGAGCGATTACAGACTTGCTGGTGATCCACGAGATTGACAACTGGTTGAACCATAAAACACGACTGATTCCTCGATATATCGAAGGTTCAACCGATATTTATGGGATTCACGACGGCAGCGCGCTCAGGCGAAAATGTGCCGAAACATTTCACAAGCTCAAAACGCACAAAATGGCGGATTTCTTGCAAATCCTCTATTTACGCAGTTTTATCGTAAAATTTCACGTTTTTTGATAAAATAAACAAATCAATTGACAGCTGAACACACCAAGTAAAATTGTCGCTAGTGTCGAGAAAGAAGAATAACTTCTGAGTGCGTACAGCGCCAGTTCAGCTACGAATTATGGTTGATCCACGTTTTGAGTGTGTAAAAGTGCAGATCAACCACGAATTATCGCTGATCTGACCTTTACAGGCTCATCCACGGAGGATTGATCCCAGTTTGCGCCTATTCGAGAGTAACCCACAAGTCTGTAATCGCTCTAAGGATGAAGACCTACAAAATATCTTGGTAATGTAAGATTGCCTATTGCAATTCTTCTTCTGGCTCTTTGTCCCCAATCTGAGATTTCGCTCCTCTTGATATAGATTCAGAGAGAGTGAGTGAGATTTTTGCTACGAAAGATGCTGCTTCTCTGTTTCCCCCAGAATTGCCTATGCCCGCGGATCGCGCGTGGCCTATATTGACCGATGGTTGATGGGGTAAAAGAGGCGACTCGGATTGCTACTACTAGCGCTACTGGCCGTCGAGGTTGGGGCTGTGCTAGTGGCAGTCGTGGACTCCTCCCGTGGGGGCTTCATATTGCGATGGTAAATACTTTTGTGATTGCGCAAACTATTAAGTGAGCTGTAGACGCGCTTGCATATGTTACAGACGGGTTCCTTAGTCGGTCGCATATGGACGTTTTGGATGTGACGCTTCAAGCGTGTTAGCGACGACAGATTCTTATTGCAAGGGTCACAGCGGAAGTCTTCGCCTGATCCACTGGCGCTCCCACTGCCACCCACATTCGCACTACTGGCGGGATTGTGAACTGATGATGACGTGGATGCGGACGATGACATCAGGGTAAGGGCCGCAGCAGATAATTGTGGTGTGGACGTCGTCAGATGACCTGACGACAAGAGGCAAATACGTCGAATTAGCCCAATGATTTGACACCATCACCACCGTTTTCTGACTGTTTTCTGTTCTTTTGGATTGCTCCCCTATCTTGGCTTCTAAAGGATTATTAATAGTATTGGCAAAGTAAGTCTTTTTACACACACTCCTTCGGAAAATCCAATAAACACGGAGCTGTTTTTATTTTGTGTTTTTTTTTTTTCGTGGCTCTCAAAACTCGATCAAACTCTAAGAATACACGACTTAATATTTCTTCAAACTGTGTGAATTTAAACTAGGGTATAAATTAAATGCTGTATAGATTAGTTGAACAGCGTTAATACATAAACAAATATTAAGGATCAAGAGAGTATATCAACTATATGAAATGTACATTGGGTTTTTTTTTTGGTTGTGTGAAAGAATTAAAATAGGACCAAATGCAATGCAAAGAGATTTCTGGTGGGGGAAACTTTATGCTAGGGATACCCTAAACCCAATTAGTAAATCAAACCAAGTGTGAAAAATATTTTGAGTGGTATAATCAATATAATACACTGGGTTTAAATCTAGATCTTCAACAACTAATTGTTTTTTTTTCTATATTTTTGTTCCAATTAAAAGAATTACACTCTTTTATTTTCTTGATTTCTTTCCAAGTACTGGTTTTGATGGTGTCACATTTTGAACTCCTCGATCAATTCCTCTGTCATTTTGTTCATATTTTTGTCTATTTCATACATTCGTTCTTTGGTTTTTGACAAAAATTTTGATTGTCATGTTGAGAGTGTCACTTTGACAGTTCTGACACCACAACTGTCAGATGGTTTTTTTTTGCTCTGTTGTGTGCCATCCGAAGTCTGAATTGAGGTATACCAAATTATCATCAGCAAACACAAGGCAATCGCCTCGAATTGACCTATAATTTTGTAGGTTCTCGCGATGACAACTCAAGTAGTACACTTTTTTTTTCTTTCTGTTTGCTATCCTATAATCCCTGACAATTCCCTTACAATTACAACAATATACTTGTCAATTCTATGTTTTTTTTTTATTATTCCTCTTTTATTACTTCTCTGTTTTTTCCTTACAATCTAAGATGTAAATAGAAATATTTGCGAAAAAATAAATGTATAAGAAATAATCTCTATTTTGTTATTATGTAATTGAATGGTCAATTTATACATATATTTAAATTATATGTATATACCGATATTTAATAATAAATATAATATGTCATAATGCAGCAGAACACATTTTAAACACACATACACGACGAAATGACACGAGATACGATACAAAATTAGCACACAAAACCAATTCACGGAAATTCTCATATATAGGTAAATATGTATATATATATATAACAATTATTAAGAGAGGAGTTATGAAGTTTGTTCGAAAAAAAATATATAAATTAAAAATAGTACATCATATTAATTTTTAATAATCATAGAAGGTTATGTGAAAAACAAAATGTGAAATAAAATAAAAAAAAAAAACATTATCAACTCCCAACACTGATTTGATATACAATTCTCATGTGTCAACGAGCAGTTTTTTTTTTAATATTTGATGGTTCTTTTTTTTAATTTTGACGAGTGATATTATTATAAAAAAAATTGTCCAAATAATTCTCATTAAAAGTTCACATGCAGAAATGTATATCAAATCGCAGGACACCTAAAAAAGTTTTAGGAGTAAATTGTATACCAAAAAAATATGCAGAGAGAGCATCTCACTCGCGCTTTTTTCCTCCCCCATCAATTACCAGCGCACAATATTTCCCGACCAATTTTTGCATATTAAATTATGTTTATTGTTTCAAGTGAAATGCGCGTAACTTTTTGCTGTTGAGCGCACGAGGACGCGAGTGAGATATTCGCTAAACATATTCCATTGCTCATAGCTGAGGTATTAGAAAATAAAATTTGTAAGTATTATGAAGAATGAGCAAAAAGGGAGTAATGTGAGAAAATAAGATTTAAACATACCTTGAGGCGATCCTGCCAAGTCGACGGCTGTGTGTAAAGCTTGAGAATTAAAACCTGAATGATGAAAAGAAAATTACATTGTAAAATAAGCACAAACATTTCTCTATATAGCACATGATTTTCCTAACACACTCCCTTGGCAGAAAAAAAAAGATTTCATATTTGTTGATCTTTTCGCAATTTGAATTTAATTTTCGTATCCTTTCTGTGACCTTTCCTGCTTCCATAATGTATTTGCAAGGAAAAAAGGAGCAGAGGAAGTGTACTATCGCGCCGAAAACAGAATTCTCACCGTGTCTGTTTCGGAGATGTTAATGTCAGAAGTTTCTCAAGGCAGAGAGAAGAAATAGGGTGTGGCGGGGTCAAATGGACAATATGAATATTCATGCGTCAAGTGGAAGTCCTTATATTTTCTGTCTGCACAATTATTTAAATTGAAAAATTCACTTTGAAAGAAAGTTGAGTGTGAAATTTGATATATTTTTTTCTTTATGAATCCTATAATTTATCTCTTAAAACTAACCCATTAAAGATTAATGGCAAAAATTTAATCTAGGAAAAATTAGTGCGCATTTCCAAGAGCAATATTAATTCGTTTTCACTGGAATATGGATATAATCATTAAAGAAACAAAGTATGATTTTCTCGTGTCAATTGATATTTTCCCGGAAATTCTCATCTTACTTTCATAACTTGTGACTTTTCCATGAAACTAAAGCAGTAAAGCAAGAAGTAAAGTTTCAAGTTTGTTATTTTTTCAAAGGCTGAAGTTTGCTTAATTCATTGTATTCTTTACATTTACAGTGACTCAAAATTAAATAGAACCACCCTGAAGACATATTGATGTGCTGCGAATTTTCACGTGAAGCTAGATGTCTGAAATTTTCCACCAATCTTCCCTCATTGATGAGTAATTATCATGCCAAGTTTGAAAACATTCGGCTTAATACTTGATCCGTTTGTGACACTAAAACCGAAGCTATGGATAAACGGCTTTCCAAATTAAATAAAGCCACCTGGAAAATATTTGAATTTTTTCCACTTAAGTATGTTTTATGTTCCTAATGTGGTTTAAATGTATCCGGAGTGTCTTCAGGATAATTGTCCTGTCGATTATCATGTATTATATCGACTTTGAAACTCTTTGATGTAAAAATTTGATTAAGTGAACATCAAGTTACGAAGCTCTTGACTCTGGAGGAACGTACTGAGGTTTTTCGACTACGCAGGATAGGACATTTAATAAGGGAAATACCCAGAAGGACCTCTTATTCCACAAAGAGTGTTTGGAGTGAAATTTACCGCAAAAAAACGTCGATTCCGCGGGAAAAGTGTCGTGAGTAACATTTTTCGACGAGTTTTTTTGGGTGTTTTAGAGCGAATTCCGTCATTTCTGCTTCTAAAATCCTTTAGGAATCGCTTCCCAAGGTCCCTCTAATCCTTTTTAACACCATGAGAAACAGATTTTATAAGTTTGGAGTGAAATTGATTGTGTAATCACACGCGGAGAAATCTGTTTCACTTCTCGAAAGCTCAAATAGCCATATAATTCACCCTTTCCCTACACATTATAATCATATCAAAACTGGTGGTAAACTATATTTGCTTAAAGGGATTAACAGGGATATGAATATTCAGCTCTTCCATTGAATAAGTTGCCGAAAAGGTCGTGTGAACTTGCGGCATTTGGCGAATTATGACAAACTTGCCGAGGCGTTTCGCCTTCGACACTAGAAAAAGGCTTTGGGACTTACCTGCGAGAGCAGACGGGTCAGTTAATGCTGAAATAGGGAAGTTGAATGATCCTGGCGTGGTGAATAGTTTGCTGTCTGACATCAGAAAGGGTGGAGCTGTGTGCGAATGTATGCTATTATCGAGATCATCCTCGTTCGGTGAGCTGCAATGACAAGCATATTCCACATTTTCATCCCCCTGAATTCCTTCCTCGAGGTGAATTCCTCACCTCATGTGTCCCTTGTTCTCTGACACATTTCCCGAATGATTGATGTCATTTTCTGGCACGGAGTCGTTGCTTTGATCGTCGTTAGCGGCATTGTTGTTGCCGCACACAAGCTCCATGGGTTCGGCCTTCACGTCGTCAGTGCGGGTGGTGGGCGGGGAGGGTGTGAGGCTGTCTTTGTCACCTGTTGAGCCCAGACCATTGCCCGTGCTGAGCGAGTTGCCCGACTGATTGTTGGGACCTGCGAGAGATGGCAAGAGCGCGTGGTCACGCGACACTCCAGCAAAAGCACACCCCCAAAAACATCCTCACCATTATCATTGCGATCGCTCTCCTTGAGCGGCGGCGTGTTGTTGTTGTTGTGCTTGATGGTGGAGAAATCGGTGGCAGTTATTTGCGGCATGTGATTGATAACATCGGGACTGTTGTTGTTGCCCAAGATCCCATTGTCGATGCGGTGTCGCTTCTGCGAGAAGTCATCGGATTGATTTGAGTTGTTCCTCTCGCGACGCAATGCGACGGCCGCGGCGCGGCGCAGCAGCTGATTCACCGTCGTCCCTGAATGGGCTGCCAAGGGGGAGGGAGAGAGAGAGAAATGCCAGGGTAATTGGCGGGCTGGGGCGAAGGAAAAGTCCACACTTGAAATTACCTGTTGGCGTGTGCAAATTATTGAAATGTGGCGGCGGCGAAGCACCGTGCGGGAACAGGGCGTCCTCAACCAGTTTCTCTGTGAAGCTCTGATGATGATTTACAGGTGTTCGGCCACCTGAACTCGTAAGATTCTGTACTTGCGCTAACTGTAATTGAACCCGAAAATGAGGAAACAATTACATTCACGTGTACAGGTGCATTCGCGGCGCGGATCCACTTCTGCACTCTATTTCATAGAATTCCAGCCATATCGCATTACGCCGCCAATCAACTTTGGAAAGTGACTCTTTCAGAATATGTTGTGTGTGTGTTTCAGCTAAAGCGATCGCCGAAATGCTCGCATTTCTCGCGCCAATTCGAATATGCCGAAAGTTACAATGAAACAATTCAATGCGCAATTAGCATTGCGTAAACTTCCATCGTCACGACAGAAAGGGAAAATGATCGTGATGTGGGTTATTAATATAATAAGGAAAGATAAATTGAGTGGATTGACTGCATCATTAAGTTATGAAGGAAAAAAAATTAATAAATATCGAGAATTTCATTAAACTTCTATGCAAATTGAAAGCATCGATCGAAAATTAACAATACTTAAAACTTTTGAAAAGCATCAAAAGTCAAAATCGCTATTTTTCGGTTAATTGAGCTGCGAAATTTGCCAAATTTACTTCAAAACCCTCAAAAAGCCTTCAAATCGTCCATTAAAGTGAAAATATTGATCGTTATTCATTATTTTGTGGATATTTCAGTTGTTTTCATTACTATTTATTGGAATTTTTGACTAAAACATGGTAAAATTAAGAGAAATTCTGAAAATATTACTTTCCAAAGTCGATTTTTAATAGTCTTCGAGTCGATTTTATCCAAACATGTTCGAAAAAATCAACTTTTGATACTTTAATTGAACGTTTTTCTGATTTTCAAGTGAAATTTTTTTAAAAGATATGAGAAATATTCATTCAAAGTCTAAAAAACATTTTAGGATAATTCTGATTATCAAAAATTATTCTCTGAAAAGGCGTTTTATGCGTTTCACTGCAATCTTTGAGACATTTTTAATGGCAATTCACTTACACTGTGTGTCTCCTCGGCCTGCTTCTGCGTGAGCCCAGAAACCCTAAGGACCTCGGCCGTCTTCAAGAAGGAGCTGAGCGAGCGCTGGTGCACGTTGACCTCACCGTGGTAGATAAACTCCACGAGGGCGTGCAGATCCGTGAAAGCGACGTCCTGCAGCACAATCACCGGATGCTTGCACGGCGTGCTCTGCAGATGGAAAATGGGTGAAAAAAGCCCTCAAACGCCGGGTGGAATTGCTCACCTTCAGCAGCTCTCTGAAGTAGGGACTGCAGGCGGAAAGGACCACCCGGTGAGCCTTTAAGCTGCGTCCATCGCAGGCCAGTGTCACATCCACAAAGTCCTCGTCATCCCGCAGATTCTCAAATGCCGACGTGATGCTGCTCTGATAGTTGTTCCATCGGAGGCAGAAGTGCTGCGTGTCAACCATTTTGCTGGTGGAATCCCCTGGAAAAGGTAAAAGAAAAAAATGGGAATCACGTGAGATTTCTGCGGGGAAAAATATGTGATTTCTCAGTAATTGATAAAAGGCATCTCTGATAGAGTGGAAGGAAGTTTACTTCCAAGTGGGTTCCTGCTAAAAATACAGAGGATAAATGTGATTTATTGCTCATTATGCTTTCGCTGGCGCGCTTTCTCTCTCACTCTCTTGGCTTGAGTATTTGCGGCACAGCCAGCATATGAAGGCACAGAAGATTAATTAATATTTCGCAACATCCAAGTGCTGCTGGGCGACTTCAGTCTTCTAATGCGTCAAATTGTTTCTATTTCACTGTACAAATACAACTAATTTATTATTAGACTTTCTCCGCACCAGAAATAACACAATTTCCTCAAAAATATATATATTTCTTTATTACATTCTCACGCCACGCACTCAAATGCCATCGCGTAATGCCTTTCTACGAGAGGAGAAGGAAGAATTGATCGATTCTCAACAAGTGTGTGTTATGCGCGATCGGCAATTTGGCTCTGAGGATTTGTAATAGTGCTAATGTCGCACCTATTTAATGTGTGCAATCGTGTGAAAGATTATCGCTTGCTCTATACATAATGAATTATTCAATCGGAATTTCAATTTGTGTTTCACCAAATTACAATTTGAGGGTGTTTGAATTATGTTGTCTTCATTAACTATTTATGCTCCCTTCGCACGGAGAGAGAGCTGTGTAGTTGTGGGAAAAGCGCACTGAAGGAAATGTTTCATCAAACTCAAGGGGGAGATAATACAGTCAGAAGTGGTGTACAGCTCAGTTGAAGTATTTAAGAAGTGAAAGTGCTTGAATATCATCAATATGACGTGTTCAAAAGTCATTTTTGAAAGGAATAACCGCAATAATTGGAGAAAAGAATTGTTCTTTGTAATTTTCTAGGTTATGTTATGCATTTAAGATAAACTTTACACCTAAATAACCTCTAAAATCATTCATTTTTGCGCATAAACTCGTATTATTTGCATTTACTGGCGCAAAAATATTAAAATCTTTTAAAAATCACCAATTTTCAATCAAAAACTGTGGTTAATTGTGCTAAGATTGATCATAACCTCTAAAATACTGTTTCAAGATACGAAATTGTCTATTTTAAGAGATGTTTGATTGATTTTTTAATCTCAAATAGCAAATTTCAGCTCATTATCGATTTTGGCTTCTAAAGATTACGATTTTCTTTTTAGATATCTGAATAATTTTTAGGTTATGATTCAAAGTGCATCCAAAAGAGCGATTTAAAGTTGAATCACACAAAAAAAAATCCGCTGAAAACTTCAAATACGTCTAAATTACTGTTTCTCTGCAAGTTTTCAGGGTGTTAAAAGTAAAAATTCCGTATTTTCTGAGACAAAGAGTCCTTAATTTGAGGTTATGATGCTTTAGGCGATTGGAAAAATGTCTGGAGTTCCGAAAGAGGTGAAGAAAGTAAGTGTCAGGATGTGGTGTACAGATTTTGGCCATACTATCCTCCCCTTGATTAAACTAAGAGGAAAGCCGAGCATGAAGATAATCAATGTTGGGATTACAAATCAGGCGATGTGGGGAGAAACTGGAGGTAATTTTCAAGATCATGTCCTTGCCGGAGAGTCCACACTTGGTGGCCTCCTTGCGGCTCAAGTGGCGAAGACGGCTGACCCTTTTGCTCATTCATGTCAATTCGGGGGTGTTTATCTACGTCTGAGTGTCGTACGGGTGAGATTATTTACTAATATAATCTCACCATAAACTTTTGATCCCGACAGTTTAATGAGTTTGGGAAGTTTCCTGCCAAGGGTGCGCGCCGTATTGACTCTCTCTGGTCATCGCCGAGACATGCAGAAGGGCGCTTTTCCTCAGAATCCGACTGAATCGATAATCAGATGCTCGTGCTCTGTATGTAGGGCGGATGGTTGTGTCCAAGGAAAGGCATTCATTTGTATGTTAGGTCAAGAAAAGGTTCATCCGTCATACCGTCTTCATCATGTAATAGTCCGCAGCTGTTGAGTGTGGAGCCGGCGACGGGGGGTGGTGGTATATATTACATATCGCCAACAATGCGATGAGGACTGTGACAGCGACAGCAACAAGGCGAAGGCGTTGTCATGGAAATGATTTTTCTTTCAGATTTTCCCATCTCCTTCGCAAGGTGATACATAATGTACAACTCCATCCAGCTATTTACTCTGGTCTCGGAGGTGTCGAGGTCAAATATATACATGCATGCTGTGGGGTTTCTCTTGGGGGTGGAAAAAAGTGCGGATCCTCCGCTCGGGTGGGTGGGTGAGAAGGAGTGATAAAGACAATGGGGGCGCATATCGTAGAGCAAATCCAGAGAGTGAGAGAGAGTGTTATGTGGGGCAAAATAGCTCCATCGCGAGTGTGTGTGCATTCCACATGAAGATTTTCGTATGCTCGTTTATGTTTCGAGACGAAAATTTCACTTTCGTTTCCATTCATTTTCATGCGCTCCACACATGTAGGTATTTCCCAGGGTGTAGCACATATGTGGCCCCGTCTAGCTTATATGGCACCGGAGAGCTCTGCCATTGAATATTGTGTACCCGCCGCACATTGCCATGTATGTGCGGCCCAGAGTGGAAGCTCAAGCGCGACGTCAAAGTGCACTTTTACCCCCATTTGCCATTCCACCCACAAGCACAAGCCACAACACGACCGAATTTGCATACATGTCGTCTGGCGTGCCGCTCCTAGGCGACACCCAGGCACCCCATCCGAGGTGAGAATACTATGTGTGTCATGTTTGAATACACGCCGCGAAGGTATTGTGCGCGCCACCCCACGCTATGTACACTTCCTCGCGGGCTTTATCTCCTTCCGGCCGCCCTGCGAGGATGCCTCAACATCATGTTCCATTTGTCGGCGGCTCAATACATCGCCTCCCTCCCCCCCGATACCTTAAGTCGCTCCACTGTCATTTATCTCGCGACGCGTACACGCACAATATTGTCAAAATTTGCATTACACCATGTCGAGGAAGATATGCGGGAGAATTATGTTTCCTTCTGCATAAATTCGCGCGCGAATCATTCCGCATGGGGAATCGCGAAAAGGATGAAGATAGGATTTCTCCGCCAGCGACAATTATCCCAATGCGCCACTTATCATCCTTATTATATCGTCCTTTTGTCTGCACGCGGAAATCTCTGTGTGTGTGGAATTGAAATGGACACAAACCGCATTATGTACACCTATTTGATCTATTAAATGTCCCACAATTTTCATCATTACATCACGCTGGCCAAGGGGGAGATAATATGCCTTGAATCCTTAAATTTTCCTGTCACTTCTAGAATTCGAAGTCTTTAATCTGTTTCCACAGTAATTTCCATGCGATATTTCTGCAAGAATCCATTTAAAAACGCTCTTTTGGGTATTTTTCCGAACATAACCTCAAAATATAACCATGAGATCTTCAAAAACCCCGTTTGGAAGCTTTCTTGATCACAAAATCATCTTGTTATTGTTATTGCTGATTTAGAGTCAAAATCATGGTGAAATTCTTCTAAAAGAACATTTTCCAAGTCCAAATGACTATTTTTGAGGTTATGTTCGAGTTCCTGACAATTTACAGTGTTTCGTGGCATGCAAATGCTTAATTCTTTCAATGACTAGCGATCTCTCGGACTTGAGCATAAAAATTTATGTGCTAGAATGCGAAATATTCAATAAATCTGTCCGTGATTCGCTACATAACCTCAAAAAAGATTATTACGTTTATTTCTGCATGAAAATCGAGGGGAAACTAAAAGAATCTGGATGATTTATTGTAAGTTTTTGAATACTTCCACTTCTCAAGTACTTCTCACTGTATTATCTCCCCCTTGACGCTGACGCATTTGCATAAATACACGCACAATGGAATGAATTCTGTCTCTTTTGCCTGTCAGCCACTATATTCTTGTGCAATTGTAAATGCCAGTGCTGTCGTAATCTCACGAGATCCGCAGTCTTGGGCTGATAAGATTAGAATAAGAGAAGTTATGTACATGTGCAATATATACATATGTATATAGATTATAAGCAGCAATAAATTAAGCAACTGAAAGTGGAGGAGAAATTGCGTATATCTGATAAAATAGTATTTTGTTTTCCAAGAAACACTTCAGATAAAAATTATTCCTCTTCACTTAGTTCGTGATATTTTGCAAATATGTAGCAACACCGAGGATATATTTATGTACAATTACAGATTTCGCAACATATTCTTTTTCTTCTTCTCGCCAACTGTTGGGGAAGGTATTGAATCATGTGTATTAAATTCCCGCGATAATATTTATCATGTTTTAGTCTATTTGTGCGATTTGCACATGATTGGCAAACATGCGAAAACAGAGGTGAATATATCTTTGGCTAATTCCACATGAAGTTACGATAGTGTTTATCGATCTCATTGCTAATTTTGGGTGCTAGTTTCTTGAGTAAAGCCGAGATTTTGCCTCTCGAGCAGCAAAACAGACCGAAAGATGGAATTCCACAATTGAAAGTACACTTCAATTTGACAGCCCCTCGCGGAATGTGAAGCACAGAGAGTCGAATGATGAGCATCAAACTAATGATGTGGCCTCGAGAACGCTGAAATACATTTCGCAGTCCTTTCAACTTGATCGTCTCCAATAGCCGCGCCAAGGGGGAGATAATATGCCTCAAATCTGTACACAACTTCCAACATTCTACCTTAATTCCCGAAATTATAATGAATTTCTTTACTTTCCATCCGTTATTTCTGCCAGAATCCATTTAAAAACGCTTTTTTGGGCGTCTTTTCCGGTCATAACCTTGAAATACAACCAAGAGATGTTCAAAAATTCACTTAGGGTTTACGGATAATAAAATCATCCGATTAGTGATGATTCAGAGTCAAAATCATGCAGAAATTTTTGCTAAATGACTATTTTCCAAGTCAAAATGACAATTTTTGAGGTTATGTTCGAGTTCCAAACAAATTTCCAGTGTTTC